GATTTTGTTCACTCATTTTGGGGTTCAGATAAAAAACCAAGGTTTCGATTTGTTTTTGCCTTTTTGTGAGCATAAACTAGCAAAAGCGCATGGAACCTGACTGAAAAAATCTATGAACGGAAGATTTGTCACCTGGAAGTATTATCCAAAACTCATAAGCCTCTATGATAGATAACTTAGAAAAATGACGCTTATAATTTTTTTGCCACCTGGAAAGAGGGTGTTCAGCCCCCAGGGAAAGTATGACCATTTTAAACACACCCTAGGCTTTTCTGTCATAACGTCGTTTGTATATGGTACCTCAGTCGTTAATATTGTGGAACCAGCGGCCAATTTCACAACCGCGGTAGATTCTGTCTGCATAGCCCAAACTGGAATCAGCACTGGGTTATTGAATAACAATTTGATAGTTTCAGCACCTTCTGTTTAATAGACTGAAGTTAGAAGCTAATTTGATTTTTACTCCATTATAATTTATTATTTTTAAATTATTTTCTAGATCTGAGTTTTCAAGAGGTTTCTTAAAATGTTCCAATGACAGTTGGTCCGAACACAACTGTGTCCAACCCTAGCGGACATGCCATCAAAAGACGAGTGTAAACTACGAAAATCGTTTGAAAAAATGCATTATATGGACAGAAGATAGTGACAGAATAAAGTAGCATATTTTGATGGCATTCTGGAGGTTCAATGTATGAAGATGCGCTCTGTTAAAAATTTGCACCTCAGCCCAGAAATGAGCCATCCAACGAGGCGTCTTAAATTCAAATTTGGTTGTTTTAAAAGACTCAAATTGATTTGCTGTCAGGTGCTCTTCAGTTGTCAAGTTTTCTCATTGAGGGGCAGGATTTCTGGGTTTATCTCAATTAACTTGGATAACGACTGCCTGTCAGGTGCTCCTTAGTTGTCAAGTTTTCTGATTGAGGGGCAGGATTTCTGAGTTTATCTTAACTAACTTGGATAACGACTGTCTTGAACGTTTAAACAGAAGATAGTGCATGCATTCACTATAGTCTTTCTTGAAGGCTGTTGAGGGTCATTCATTGGGAGCGGAGCGTTGTAGCACCTAAAAATAATTATCTTTCTTTGAAATATCAGCACAATATCCTTGTATAAAGAACAGAAAATGCACCCAAAAATCCTCCTTCGTCTCTCTATAGACCAATAAACTCGTCACTAATGATAGTATTTAAAGTGACCCCGACGATATAGTTTGGATTATTTTCAAAACATTCATAATCTTTGTGTAAGCCCGCTAAGCTGAGGCACTGTGGTACCTTGCCACACGAATTGAATCAGGCACCTCTACTGTGTGATACTCATGTTTTCCTGTGGAAATGTTACATGATGTATGTTATATGTTATACGTATTATTTTATCACCCAATAAACTGTGATGTCTCAATTATTTTGCTGAACAGATCCGGATGGATTGAACACCTCACCTCCCCCATATGACACTGCAGTAATGAGCCCGGTAACATCGCCAGGTTGGTTGTTTTGGTAAACGTTATAAGTTGTGCAAACGTGATATGAAACGATATAACCTTGACGTGCATATTTATCAGAAAGGCAGTTTATTTCTGAGATAAAAGCATGCTTAAAAGCCAAACCTATAGCCTGTCAACCGATAAATCCGGACTCTAGTCAAAAATAGTAAACACTGTGAACCATTTGAAGCATATAAAGCGTGCACAGGGACACGTTTGATAATAATAATCACTTAATGCATTAATTTTTGGAATGCAGATGCAGCAAATGCTTGTTTATCAGTTAAACATAGCAGGATACATTTCGGACAGGGTATTTTGTTTTGCGTAGCAATATATATTAAGATAGCTCATAAGAAATTCTCAGGCACCGCAACATCGGAAGACTATTGGTCATTCTTGTGTTAACCCGTCTTGCCACTCATTTGAATAGCCAAACATCACATACTCGCATAGTTCCATAATGTAAAATGGTTAGTATAATATTCTCCTAACTTTTTTCCTGTTCTTGTAGGGAACAGCTGTTTGGGAGTTTGTTAGCGTGACAAAATATTTTATTTTCCACTTTTTATGCGAAAATTCTTTAAGGAATAACAAATATTTCCTTAATTAAAATTGGAAGTCAATTCATATTAACCTGACTACCAAGAAACAGCGTTGTTTTGGTTTAAAACCTGAACGACACAGAAGACATATGGGGTGCCCTTAAGTCCTTTACTGGTCCGTTACCGATTCTTTCCTCCTTGAGGCCCATTAGTTAAACACAGTCTCCAAGTTTTTATTGATACTAAACTGTAATTGTTTCTTTCTTCTAGAAAATATAATGTGAAATCTCCAATATTAAAACATTCCCAGACCTTTTACGGCACATTGTGCCTAAGAACCCCGCAAACGGCAGATTCAGTTGCATCTCTCCATGATACTAGTGTCACTTGAAGTTGAGCGTAATTTGTCATGTATTAGCAGTCTGTGCAGCTAATAAAATTTTGGGTCACTTGCTGTTTTATGTCAATGAGAGACAAAAAGTGCGGTTTTTCTGGGTGAGAGACTGTAGAGAAAATAGACGATAATTTTTTCAAGTAAACGGTAAAAATAAGCAATGTACGAGAAAATCGGTATGCACATATTCATTGTGCGTTACAGGAGATTCTTGAAAATATTCTTTTTTGTTGAGGACATGATAGTAAATATCCAACTGAATTATTCAAATAGTTAGAAAGGGTCCAAAGTTCATGAAACCATTTGCTACTGTTTGTATGCGGGCAGTGCCATTTATTCTAAAGTCCTATCCACGACTCTGTAGTTATTGCCTACTAGTTGTTCGAGGTACTGGGCAAATTTAGATAGACACTTCATTACACACGCTCCTTTTACAAGAGTTTGCTATTAGTGACTGCAAATGCGAATGCTGGAAACATGTGGGTTTCTGAGAGATGCGCATCAAATTTATTTTCAACGAGTGTGTAACATGTTAACGCCAATAATAGCTTGCAGCTGATTGGTAAAAATCAAAGTACTGAAGTGTTGGCGAACATTTAGCAACAATTAAGCAGGGTTTAGAACTTTAAGTTGACAATTTAAGAAGCGCCCACGTAAACGGGCAACAGTGATTGCAAGGTGAGCGCTTGTAAACAAAGCCTAGGTAGCGGATGTTGTCCATAAAGTTTTACATTCGAAGCTTCACCCACACAGTTTGGAGATGCTTATTTCTAAAGGGCAGAATAAAAGCATAGACAGAGTTTGTTTGAAGTTTTGAAGTTGACGGATTCCCGTTCTTGCACCCTGAATGCAATCAAAAACTTTTTCTGTTTTTGTTTCAGCGCCGTCTCCTCTTGCATTCCAGACGACACCTTACCCAGTGGATGGCATCGGGATACAGTTTCCACAAGGTATCTGACGTACAAAAGGCACATTAGCCAATGTTCTCTTGTATTTATAAACCGCACAGTTGAATTTTTATTGGCAAAACTTTTTCATAACCGAAACAAGAGGTATTGAATACAAAATATTGCGATCTCCCTGGGTGCGATCACAAATAACCTCATTCATTCCAGTGCGGAGAATATACATTTTCTGTATCCGTCGCTCTGAGTCTTCCCTAAATAGAAATCATTTTACAAACGTGACAGCAAAAGAACACAAACTTCATGTCGGAATTTTGCAACATTATTGAAAACTTGTCTCCGGGTCAATTACCGCAAGACACATTCTGCCATTTTTCTAAGAAACGATTCGAGCGTTCTTCAACCTAGGGTAACCGTCTTTTAGGTCAAGGATTTTTAAACCTAATACTTGATGGAGTCCATTCAACTAATGTGGTCTGCATACGCAATTAGAGGAACATACTGAAGAAGCGAAGTGAGCATTTTGTGAGTAAGCGAGAAAATTATTTTTAAAGAATAATGGTCTAATTAGAAAATGGTAAACGTGAAGTGAAAACCTGCACTTGCCTAAATCTACATGGTTTGTAAGATATTACATGTTTAAATTGATGGTACTGCTGGTTGTCCTTTAGTTATTTCTGTATTTTGTAAAGGTTGAACATACCATTAAAAGCCTTCCATGCTTCCAAGCAAACTTAAATCAGACCCTCAACAAACTTTTCATCAGTGGCTGCATCGACAAAAACAAAATCCGTTGGAATGCCTGCTAAAGTGCGATCACTGTTTATTAAAAATTAGGACAATCAGACTGGAGTTATGAAAGCTTGGGACAAAAAAAAATCAGCAAAATGATTTTGCATTAGTTGAGCCTACTTAGCAGTATCCCAGCTACTGGGATAGGTGAGATCTTTGGGCAGAAAGCCAACAATGGTAAAAATACGTTCTTTGCTCACCAACTGTATTATTGAACTGGTGAGCTGACATGTAACAAGGCGCCAACTAAGTACTATAGGAAGACCGATTAGAAGTAGATAACACTACACCAGCAGTTTTGTCCTGCCTGAATATCAGCAGAAATTCGAGACAAAAAATAGATTTGTCTCTTCTATTTTACTTAAAGACTAACTTACATGCAGTGTTTACCCTGGCCTTGGAATAAATATATCAGCAAGAACAAATAAAGCTGCAAACAGCAGTTTTATTTTTGAAAAAATGCACATTTTCATCTTATGAAAATCTCCAAAATTCAGGAAGCGATACCCACATCAGCGATGTGTATACAGCTCATCTGCAAACTGGCCTATTTTCCTAAAGCATTTTGACGTTGTAAACAACCTCTGTATTTATCCCTGTTTACGAGTGCCAAATATCTTTAAAAAAACTAACTTTTCAGCCCAGTACCCCGACAGCGCGAACAACTCATCCCCTGATTATATGGAGCTCGCAACAGGTAGCTAATTTGAAAAGGGTTATGCAACAGAATATCATGCATTTTCACGCTTCAAACACATGTTACCTAAATTCAAACCTTTGGAGGCATCAGGGCAGTAGAACTACGTTTGTTTAGTTTTAAGATATTGCAAACTGTAATTACGTAAGTGTGCGATCGGCTAATTATCAAATTTTGTGATTTCGCCCGCTAAACTAGTGTCAGTACCCAATGTAATGGGAGAAATATCATTTCCGAAACACTATATAATTGTAATTTAAATGAATATTTTGAAATATTTAATGAAACTACAAGTAAATCTTGAGGGGAATACAAAAATAGGCCAGACGTATTGTCGTCGTTAACGGGTATGAACAGCACTCTGACATCTTAAAATCATGTCCTATAGGTAACAAAAATGGAGAGTCCACTTTGCTTAGCACATTCAGTTTTCAACTAAGAGGTGCCTTACTATGTGCACGACAATTGTTTCTTTAGGCTCGCAGACTCACCAGAATGCGATCATTAAGACTGGTGGGTTCAATTTTTTTCGCCTGTTAAATAATCCCAATGGTAACCTTTAGGAAAATTTTTTTCCTTTTTTTCTAATTTAGTCGCGGACATCCAGCAAAGTTGCGGCTTTATTTGTGCCCCGTTGGATTTTTCATATGGTTCGCTTGCGTGCAGTTTTTAGATGTTAATACAAAGGCTACTCTGGTTTAGCGACCTTTCTTGTTTAAAAATCAAGTGCAAAAATGATAAACTTCAAAATGCAGCCAAGTTCTCCATCGTTGAACTATGCTTAGTACCCATATTGTCGGGGAGATCTTCAGAACATGCTTCCCATAAATGTATGTACGAGTTGCAAAGTAGTGTTGAAGCGACGAATGTACCATAAAATTGGCTGTCGATATATGAATATATACCTGTATATATGGTCAAACGCATTTGATTTACTTGAGCTACATAATATTGCTAAACTGTTTGGTAAAGAGAAATATTAAATCGCGATTTGGGTTGAACGAAATGGTACAGCTAGCTTAATTCAGTTCATACAACTCTAAAACCATGACCCGAATTCAAAGGATTCACACCGAACTGGATTAAAAGATACGATAGAACACCCAAAGGCTAAAGGACTCCACAAATTCTTTTGGAAAGCTCACCATAAAGTAAAGTAGTCCTTCGAATTAACAGGATAAATAATATTTTTGACAACATCAAAAAGCATAGTGGACCAATATAATTATACAAACACAGTACATTTTTACATTGGTAATATCTTCGGCTTGTAAACAGCCCAGTACTCCTTCGTAAGGCGCACGCGTAAAAGCGCGCATTCGTTTAGTTGCCCAGTTGCTGTTTGGATGTGTGTGTGAATGATAACTGTAATGGAAAATTTTACAACGCCACATTACACATCAAATAATTAAAATGTCTGTCGAACTTAGAGATTTCGTCCATTCATTCACTGGGATGTTTCTTTTAAAAATTCCATCAGTTGACTTATTTGAGAAGTACGCATCCCGAAGACGAAAGAAACCGCACAAACAATGAGATTTTGATCTGTTCTCCTAGCTTGGCTTTTGGAGTTTGAGTTACTTGTCAGTCATGATGACATTGCCAGTGCCATTTCGGCTAGGTAAATTCCTACTTCAACTGAAATTTTACTGTTCCCAAACAGCATGTGGTAGCACTAATGTAAATGGTTCGTCGCAAGGTGACTTTCGCGTAACTTGAATTATTAAATTTGAACCAAAATAGCGTTGCAGTCCATTTAACTGCATCTGTTGGGTTCATTAATTGACTGCGATTCGACTGTTTTACTTCTGTGATGAGATGGATCGGTTGCTTTATGCTCTTTGGTATGAATTATTTGTACTGGATTACCTGACTAAACAAACCTTGTAGTTTTGATAGCTTTAGTGTTTGATCCGAGTTTTCCATGTTTGATTGTTTGTTGTTTATTTTTCCACGTCATTCAGAACCGGAATCTATGTGATTCTTTTGTTCGTAGGATCTGACAGGCCGGGCCTATATTGGTGTGTTCACCAGTTAATTCTTTTGCACACAAAACGACTTCTCGGAAAAAATGGCTCCATTTCCATTTCTTACATGTTTAAGCATTTTTAAATCCAAATTTTAGTGAAACCTAATAGACACAATTGACATGGAGTGATGCCTTCTGCTGACGTGTTTGTGTTTGTATCTTCTGGTGGCAGGTTATCTTCCGGTCTGATCAATACACTCGGTCGCATTCATTCGAATGTGAATGGTGTTTATTTTCTTAGTGTTATCTAGTCTCCCCTTAGGTTCCAAAATGCTCCTCATCAGGGCTACAGATTTGAAGGCGACCATTGATCCATGTTGTTATTAGTCATTGTTTTGCAGTTCTTTCGGAGATGTTTTCATAGACGGAAAAGTGATTCTCCCTGATGGGGTTATGCTAGCCCGATTGGCTTAATTTTATTTCGTAAGCATTTCCACGTTAAGTTTATCAAGAAGCCATTGCTTTGGGATATTTGTTCTTAGTTGATTCTTAGCCCTTTTTGGCATTGATTTCGTTTATTTGCGGTGCGTCCTGATCCATTCATTGTGGTTATGACAGAAAATTGTTATATGCACCTCGAACGGTTACCATAGTATTCCTGAATTTGGTCTGTTTACAATCACTCCCTGCATACTTCGGTTCGCACTTCGTCATATGTTGTGTTTATGGATTCTTGTACACATTCTCCTCCGCTTCCACATTAAACTAAATGTCAGAGAACAGGCTTTTCAACCTTGCAACAACGCAGTCACGTCACAATTTTCGGTGTTTGTTAAGAATATACATTCTAAACTAAATGTCAGAGAACAGGCTTTTCAACCTTGCAACAACGCAGTCACGTCACAATTATCAGACGATGTTAAGAAATATACATTCTCACGCAGAAGAGAAGATACCGTTGAACCACGACATGGTAATTTAGCTTCAGTTGTGGGCGAAAAGAGTGCAATCTAGATACAAAGCTCGGCAAGCAGACCAAATTAAAGGAGCGCATCCGATTGCTCTATATTTTGCAACACGGACACCAGTGAGGTGAAAAAAATTACGGTGATTATCATCATCTAGATACCATTAAACAACTGCCCAGAGGTCTGAACGTTGATCAGGTGGCGATTGATCTGCCCGCCAAGCTTGACACCTGACTTGGCAGACTTTCGTTACCATGCTGACAACCAACGTAAGCGCATGACTACGGTCCAAAACGCGACCAATTCGGTAAAAATCATGGTGAAAAACCGAAAGAGAAAAGCAAAACAACGACGTGCCCTTTTGAAAGTTGAAATGAAAATATGTCTGCTAGACGACACTTGTCATCACTGGGCAGAGCTTAAGTATTCAGACGGTTAGGCTAAAGTTCCCGAATCAGGCTCAATTGATTGTTTTTGTCTTGAAAACCACTCATATCTTTTATTTCACACCGTCGAAAACGGTTACCGTTTTTACTCCAGGACCATCTCACTTTAAATAAAGACGTTATCTAGTGAATGGAACTAGCATCCAGTATTCACAGAATAACACATCATCGTAAGCCGTCATTCACCCAAGAAGCATGAATATTTTCCTATTTCTGACGCAACAACACGTGTGCAGACGATGAAATCTTGCCCGTTTGTTATGGCGAAAGTGTTTTTCAAGGTCCGTCACTCCACGCCCAACTTAAATACGTCAATTTGTAAGCGTTACCATGACCACAAAATTTGCAGTGAAAGCGAAATCGGTTTTTTCTTTGACTTCTGAATAAATGAATTTTCTTTCGTTACAAAGAATAATAACGTACCCGGGATAGGGGTGTCGGTTTTGAATGAGGCGGTCAGTTGTAAGTTACATGACTTGTTTTTTAATCGGACAACAAACGCTGATTGGTCGTGCACTAGTTCATGGGCAAGCAGAAAAGTATCACAAAACCGTTCAGTGAAGATTTTTGTCGCAATGGAACCATTGATATTTCAGGCAGATGAGTACAATCTCTCGCCTAGAATCGATGATGAATCAAATATTGTGGATGCTTTTCGTTGAAAAGCACTGCTATTAAATCTTGAATTGTGCGAACTTTTGCGCTCATCCGCAATCACATGGTTTGCACATGTAAGCTGTCGTTAAATAATTCAAAATTATTTTCTGGCCGTCAAGGGTCACGTTTTGCACGTTTTGGAATTTATCGACACTCGTGTAAGTTATTCAGGCTTTCTGAGTTTTTTGTTGGGCTGCTGGAACAGTAATCTATGGGACAACTTGAACCTTACTTTTGCAGTTGGCTAGAATATAATCATGGATTCACAGTGAGTCTTAATGTAAGAGCAATACTTTCTCATGCTAACATTTTTAAAAAAGTGTCCCACTCATACCACCTAGATCCCGTTTTCGTAACTATCGTTGTATTGAACTTACAGTGTATCTAGCAGTTGGATAGCATTGTGTAAAATAGGCACGAATGTATCATAGTTTAGTCTTAGCAAAATACATAACTAAGCCATAACTAGTATTCTTCAACTGAATGTGCTACACAAACGTCGCTTCCTCTTTCAGCTTAGACGGTTTTCGAGATATTCGTTTACGTGGACAGACCACACTACTTGAAACGTTGCTGAAAAATCATTGGCTTGTTCGGGTTTACTAAATTGTTGGCTCAACTTACAGACAATCGGAATCTTCGCCTAACTGATGGGCTATAAGGTGGACAAAACCTATCGTATGCTGTCAGGGAGATTTCAGCGAACTTATGAGTACGATGTTTCGTCTGGACGCTACTATTTCATGGGCGAACGCCAGTAGGATACCTGAGTCTGGTAAGCAAACGGGTTTCAGTAAGTCATAGGAAGTCTTATCTGATCGGACACATTAGCTGTAATGTCCTGACTGGGTTTCGGCAGGCATCCGTATTTTCTAGATCCGGATTATATATCGCGCTACCTTAAATACGGGGAGGTCTGGTTGCAACATATTCGACTGGAGGATGTCATATAATAGACCTGCAGATTGGGCTCTCACTAAAATGAATATCATTTGCTAATTCTGCGGAACTTGACCTTCAAGCAGAACATATGGTTGATGGATTCTCTGCAGATGCGCCTGCCTGATGAGCTAAAAAGGGATAAAACCGGTAATAGGCTATCGAAATGTATCCAGTAACCTCACGTTATTTTGCGCCCATCAGGCCGAAGCTTTGAGGGATCAGGAAAATTTGAGGCTGATTCTACGCAAAAGTGATGTGCGCGTCCGGATAAAAGTACAACGGGCTGCTTATCCGCGTTTTCAATTATGTTTCGTCACAAACTTGTTTTCGATAATTTTGTTTGACCAAAACTGACAAACAGTTTACAACTGTACATACATCTTTTAGCTCCATACCAGGATGGGCAGGATTCTGAAAAGCCTGATCCAACAAATCCAATGAAAGGTGAGCAAACTGAGTTGGATCTTGCGTCCCCATGGTACTTGCACGCATCAATAAGTAGTAAGATAAGCCCTAAGTTTTTTAGAAGCATTGAACGCATTATGCCACCTTTCTAGCTCACTTGGACTCTTATGAGTGTTGAGCTCTGTGATTCTAGCTTGTTGTTTATACAAAATTCAAAAAAACTGTATGCTTTATTTGCCCCCGTGTGATTGTCAAAACTTAGATATATGAGAGGAATTTTACGGTGAATTCATACTGTCCACCATTTGCTCAGATGACAGGCAGGACCGTCTTGAGGAACCCCAAAGTGAACCAAAGTGAATTTATAAATATTTTTCACAATATTCTCCTCCAGCGGTAGAGATCAGTAGGGTTTTAGAACACGGTCACCGAAACTTAGAAGTATTTGCTCACTAGTGTTCAAATAAGTCTACTATTCTCGACATATTCTGCATGATAAAAAAATTTACAGTGAAATCTACCGTAGCATGATGAAAATTCGTCTGATGATGTTGGGCCTATGCGCAGTTTAACGGCTCGGTTAGATTATTATTTATTATTTTCGTTGTTTCATACAAGTCCTTATGTTTACCTGTCGGTGACAGTTACAAAACTTGGAAAGTTATTTTTTTAATTAGACTAATTTCTGGATACTATGACCGAATGCAAACTTTGCGTTACATCTAGCAGTTTTCGTCGGTCAGATAATTCTGCATAAAGGAATGATATTTTTCGTTTATGCAGGCATCCGGATAATTCAGCGGGAGAAATAAACACTCTAAAACCCCAAGAGTAATGTAGGCTTACCACTTGCACGTGTAGAAAAACAATTCAAACATACCCCAAGAAATTGCTTTTTGGATATGCGCGAGTAGGAACGATTGCGTACGTTGTGCAGCACAAACCTCAAGCTAGTATTTCTTACGTGTGTCTCATCCGGCTGACTTTTCGATGTAACAAATGCTGTGTAAGATCTCGACAAGCCTGAAGCACACGCTTCTGCCAAATATGGTTATCTTGAATGACCAAGTTATGCGTGCAAATTCTCGTGATCATTATTAACACGTGGCGGCACAGCAGTTTTTTGTCGTTTTGGAAAGTTATTGCAACTATGTTGTTGATTTAATTACACAGTCACTATTCAGCAATGGATTTTTGTGCAAAACGCATGTACACAGGGACAAACTGTTCTAACAAACTGAAATTCCTGAGTAGTGCGCATTAGTTGCATAAGAGCATAGTAACCACATTTTTATTTTAGTAAATTATTTTGCCGGTTGCAATGATATTAACTGTAATTCGCCTAAACTTTGTCCTTTTCAAAGCCATCACCCTGAGGGGCATGGAAACATTGATTGTTCGTGTGAGATAACCTATTGCGAACCGTTTCATATCGTAATGCTTCAGGAGCAGCGCACCAGAAGCGCTGTTCTTGATTCGGATTGCATTTTATAGACGATTTTTTCACCGTATCACGGTATTTTACTCCCCCAGCTATAGCAAATGTTTCAGGTCAAACTGTGTGTCACTCATTTTGACACAAGTTACAAATTATTCAACGGAATGTAGGAATATAACTAAAAAATCTGAAGTGAAAGCACAGTGCTTTTCATCGCAAAATTGCTCCGTGCGTTTCTCATATCTCAGCAAAGTCAATGTATTTTTATATCAAAACATTCAGCTACCAATCAGGCCGACATTCGTCAGGAAAATCCAGTCACAATCTTTAGTCCTCCGTTTGGCCCTCAATCGGTCTTATCAACATGCCCTATTTGTCGGCAGAACGTGGAGACCAAAGTGGAATATACAGATGGCAGTTTTACTTGGTTACTGTGCGGATTATTGTCAATGTTCGGGTAAGCCGCTCAAATGTTTCGAAACCGTACACACAGCATCGGTCTGATCGTAGCTGTATAGAGTGGACTCAATGTCTCTAAATTTTTTCAGTGTTTCAGGCCACTTGCATTCAGAGGTCCTTCCCGCTCATAAGTACTCATTAACATTTTTCACTGAGATTTTTTATAGTTTATTAAGTTTTCAGTTAGCCGCGAGTAGCACTTATTTATTGCCCGAACTTTCCTGCTTGGATCTGGCAAGTTGGATTTTCGAGACTGTTTACCGAGACATTTTACTAAACCAAAAGACTTTCTTCTGCTTCTGGCTACAAAAACGAAGAAAACAGACCGATATTGGAGCCTTAAGATCTGACTGACTGCCTTCAAAGCTAGGTAAAACAGGAGTATAATACTCCCTATACGTGTCTGAAAATCAAACATTCTTTATACGCTACGGTTTGACACTGCCAAAATTCCCTTAAACATGGTATATTTTGGACGTACAAGCAAATTTGGTGTCAGTTTTAAATGACTACTCTTATTAATCTCCGGAAAATGGCGGTATCTACTTTCCCTTGTGTCGGAGAAGAAGGGCATGTAAACAAACATGATACGAGAGTGACAAGGTTTCGTTTAATTTTCAGTGTATTCTGTGATGTCGAATCTCTCTTTAAAAAATCACCAAAGATACAAATCAGGCTCATTTGGCTATTTAGCTTACCCAAACTGAACAGCTCAGAGTGAGTTTTTGGATGACTTTAGAATAAGCGTCTCAAAAGAAGCCGCCGATCGTCACCACATCAACATCATCATCTCCATCATCAGCTTGAAGAACTGCATTCTTGTTGTATGGTGGTTGTAGCCACCACCATTTCGTCTATCAATGATTTGGGGAGCTAGGGTAGGCAGCTGTGCATTGGAGGCGTGAGTTGATAAATCGGTGCGTAAATACGGCAGTGTTAGTAGATTTCCAAGTTGTGAGGGACTGGGAAGTCAGCTGTGCATTGAAGGCAATAGCTTGGTTGCACGAGCTCCATAAAGATGGCAACTGTTCAATGTCTGACAGTGCCTCCAACATCTAATGTGGCCAATGTTCAGGCTCCCATCCAGCGAGATGGCAATGACCAGCATATTGGGAGCAACAACAATCTTTACTTTCACATACAAATGCGCATCCCTGCCACAATGGACGTCTGCTTAAGCCAAAATTTGGTCTGCTATGACATGTGAACTAAAACAACGCACGGTTCTATTGCTAAAACAATGTGTATGTCAATTAAGTTTTCAAAGAAACAAAGACAATCATGCTGTTCGTAGCAGCTTTTACCTCTTTATCGGATGTGTATTTCGAGCTGGGCTACAGTTATCAACCCGCACGGAGCCAAAAGTTTCTCACCGCATCACCTTCGGAGTCATGCAATTCAATCGTTCAATTCACCATATTTTGAAGTTCCCTTTGCACCCATGATATTACTATAATTCTTATGACCAGTACTCGCACTTTTGTTTCTTCTTGTCCACATTTCAGGCTGGTTTTTGGTTGTTGTCTTCTACCATTCTTCTGTCAGTGTGCCAAAGATGTTTCGCACTCTTGTCCAAATTGTGGGAATCGTCTGGGTGTTTATCATCGGCTGTGACTCGATTGCGGACAGAACAAATGAATCTCATGGATTCAAGTAGAATCCAGCTAAGCATCATTTCAAATTCATTCCTGAAATCTCAGCCGCGTTATAATTTTGCCTTGATGAATCTTGCTGCGAATATTTGTGTTACAATGTTGTCTTGAGCATTTGATGTAAAAAACTTTTCTGTCCATCAATGATTTTTAATCCTTAGACTTTCGTATAAGAAGAATGACGACTGTGGACTGTTGTTTAGGTATGGGCACTGCTATCCAGAATGCTCATCTGGGCCGCCGCATTCAGCTTCTTTTGGAAAGAGCAAGGCAGTTAAGACGCCAGATGAACTTTTTTAGATACTCTTTCTAAGCAGGAACACCTCAGTCGAGAGATCTACATGACGTCGCCCAGGAGTCTTTTTCCTGCAAAGAAATACGCAACCGACTGAAATGTTGTTTTATATCCGCTTGGCGCCCGGGTCTAATTTGGTAATGTTTCTCATGAGCAAGATTAGGGAACCGCGTTTGGCATCTATCATCCATAGGAAAACATAACACAACTAGCTCAACCTATTTTTTACCTGAGCTTTTCAGTTGCCGCTGTAAATTTGAGAAAACCACTCCTGTATTAGTTGGGGAAGCTCATACCAACACTGACACAGCTAGAAACAGCGAGTGAATTATCACAACAAGACGGGTGAGGATTTAAAACCAGTTTAGAAACTGATTTTTATCTATATTGTGCACGTATAAAATTAAATTACATAGACGTAACATTAGTGATGAGAATCACTCCACGGAATCAAACTACTTCTAGTGAACTCACTCTGTTTACACTACTGGGTCCAAGTCTGTTTGTCTTCGTGATATGATATCTCATCTAATTTATGCCTCTGTGACAAATCGCAACCTGAAAATTGCTTAGCAAATCCGGCGGTCGTCAACTTTGCATCTTGGACTCCCGTACAGCAAAACATCTTGACGCCTAAGGAATAAAGCCCCAGGGGTAGCCACGTCGTTTTGCATGCATCCCAACCACCGACATGAAAGTACGGTCTAGGAGCGGAAGACTCACTCCAGACAAACCCATGTTCTCTCTAATAAGAGCCATATTCCATGGTTAAATTTTGCCTTTCATTTTTTTCGGACACCAATTTAGGGCAAAATACCTGTGAACCGTATGCCACAACCCTACAGCCACATTATAGGATGGCCATGAGCCTTTCGGTGTAACATTCTTCTGGCAGTGATTCCGTAGTTTTGTTTAAAAACACAGCATTCTGTGATGACGGAATGCAAAGTGCTGATGCAGAACCTGACTGACCCACCCTGTAATATTCATTCTTTCCACGAGGAAACCTACATTATGGGAACAATCGGTGAGTTTTCCAGATAATTTTGCATCCACGGAAAGACTGTCTTCATTTAAAAGGACATACTGCCAATTTCACCAGTAATTTCTCGCTTTTTCCTGTGTATCTAGTATCTGACATTGTTCATGGTGAATAGATGTAGAGTGATTGAGGCATCTCTCGGAGGAACTAAATGCTAATCATCTGATAGATACGGATAAAAATCAAGCACTAAAACCGGTTCATATCTCTATTTCGTTCCAATTAGTTTGTCGGAGTGAGTTCATCAGCTAATGTCCACCGCATTCTAGTTGACTACTCTCTGAATGCCTAGATGAACTGTAAGCGGAATGCATCAATTCGGTAAAAGTGAGCGGAGCTAAACATTGCTCGACCATTTAACGTCACCATATCCTCGTACATCCGTCTGACCGGTCGAATACAGGCAAAGTGAGGCCTGTTTCAGTCAATGACAACCAAGAAACTTGCATCAGCCATGAGAAAAGCGTATCAGTCCCAGATATTTCATATTTCTCTTTCAAATAAGGACTAGGTCGCATGCAAATGTTATACATTCGGACGAGTATTAGTAGAAAAGTGTCACCTCCATCCAGTTTATATAAGGCTGCTGCACCTCCTGCGTTTGAGATTTCCTAACCTAGGTATACACCAATACAAGCATCTATTTCTGCTCGAATGATATACATTCTTATGCACCTGTTCGAGAATACGACGCTTCAGATGCGATGAAATATCAGACATAGCAACTGTTGTCATGGCTATCCCACCAACCATTTGGTGAATATCGATTGGACAGCTCAGTCTCACCGAAAAGAGACAAAAACAAGTTTCACGAAATTTCACACTCACACAGGATTTCGACAACAACGCTTCTTGATCTGCCCTATTCATAAACAACCGAGGCCTCACTTGCTGTCTACAATGAAATTACTAGAACCAATTCCTTAAAAAAACCATGGCTCTTTGTAATATCACGTTTTGCGCAAATGATTCCGCTTTTGAGGTCCTACATAAATCGAACAAACCGGAGTCATGGCAGTCGAGAATGTCAAAGACTGACCATTTTCAGTGTTGAAGAACCTACAAACAAGGACAGCAGGTTGGATGTTTCACGCCTGACAACTTTACACAAATCAGATTTCCCTATACACCGGAACAAACGAGTCGTCTATTTTCAATTTCCAGCTACTTATTAGAAGTTAATAGTCCGAGCAGAATCCGGTCATGATTTTGGCTGCTGGTGTAACCTCAAAGAAGGCAGGGCCAAACAGTAACACTGATGCGAATCACCAAGAAGAGTCCTTTTTCATACTTGATCCGTTTGCATATTTACCCACAATTTGACAACATCCCAGAACTTCTCTCTTGATTTTACGGTAATGATCGTTCATTATTTGGTTTAACATAAAATACATACCTACGAACAATACTATGTACCTAAACCTGGCAAGTTCACATACGATGTGGAGTCAACATTTGTTGCACATTTATAATGAAGTGTGGAAAATTAAAGAGGCATCTATTATTAACGGTTTTGTCAACGAACGGATACTTAGCAGCATACGCTATACTGGCATTCTCGGTGCAAATAATCAAAAAAACTGATAAACCTTGAAGAAATTTCGAGTGGAATAATGACTGTGGTGAAGTTAGAATCGAACCGCGATTTTTGCTGGCGAGCAAGGAATATCACTCGACTATTTGGCCGGATTGGAGTACCGTGTGAGATGGCAAGCGTTGATATTCAATGGCGGTTCTTTTCCATATACAAAACTTTTGGAAGGAGCTGGGCTATAATTGAACCAGTCAGAGCCTGTCAAGATTTATGGCAACACATTTGGACCAGGCGCTCAGTAAACAAAGCCCACAGTCATACGCGTTTTCGCACGACCTACTTATTGTTATGCGCGTTTTGCGTATCTTTCCGTCAGTGTACGGATACATTAGGTCCTGGCCTAAGAGTTGACTTCATTTTGAGACGGTGGATTTGACCAACGTTCTCCTCGTCTTGGTGCACTTGATGGCCTAGCATTATTGTCCAGGAACACTTATTTATGATCTAGTTCGTTCATCTCTTTACAAACAGGGGTTTACCTTTTAACAGTGGTTTATTCGATTCTTTTCTGTTCCACCCGTAACAGCGTTTTACTTAGGCATATGCACAATATAAAATGCCGCTCTAACACTTGGTATATTTAGTCACATGCTTAGGCGCCCAGCACATTGATCATTTCTAACAGTACAAACCTGGAGTTTTACGGGGTTGAACCAAAGTTGTTACCTGATGACTACCCTCCAGTTGACAGAAAACGCTGAAAAACACGCAGAAGGACGCAGTTCCGTATTTAACAAAACTAAAACTTGGTTTTCTATTTATAATTAAAGAATATCAACGACTAAGAACCTTGAAAAATGAACCGTCACAGTACGCTAATTAGTCCCCAATATCAGGCAGAAAGAATGACTTTTAGTGCCTCCGGGTCAGTTTTATCACCTGAAGTTTTCAACAGCCGTTGCTGATGTTCTACTGCCTGATATTTCCACTTCGAATATTCCGTTTCGGTTATTGTTCAAAGGTAGTAAGGCATAGTCATGCGGTGGTGTGCTTCCTTTGTGGAAATTGCAACTGAAATGTAAAGGGTATTTCTTAACAGAATAAGCTGTGTCTCGTTACGACTCCCTCAGTTCCGCATTAGATTGGTGCATATGAAATGAACGCAAACAGTCGCGTCATTAGGCTCCAGGAGACCCGGAAGTGACAAGCATGCCGCTTCAATTTTGCATTACTCATGAGTAAGTGCAAAAATATTTCTTACAGAAAAACATCGGGTGGGAAGCCATTTCTGATACTGTTCGAAGTTCAAGTTCATGCAGGCTACAAGGAGACTTGCCTTGCCTAGCTAATTTTCATACGGGTTATCCGGCAAAATATGAAGAGAAGTGAGTGCTTCCTAAATTCCTTCAGGAACCAGTCAAACTGACCTATGATAGAATTTACCAGCTGCTGAGGTTTTGAAAGAAATCTACCAACGGTAAATTCTCTGAGGCCAAATACCTCACTCTAGTCGTCCTTGTGTTCCCACTAATATTCATTCTTGTTGTGTGAATGTGTTTTTTTCTAAAAAGTATAGACAAATTTATGCTCCAGCCTAGACTAGCATGTTGACGTACCATTGATTTTTGAACAGTAATATCTCGTTACGCAATGGAGAGAATTTGAATGCGCCTGTGTTTGTTCTAAATTCATTTTGAGGATTTGAGTTCTGCTTGAATTTGCGGAACAAAAAACAAGTTTTTTTAGAATTTCTAAGGAAATTCTCGTCCTTTGTTCAGCCTTCAGATAAGTAGACCGCGATTTCAGCTTTGTAAGAGAAAATCACTCAAAGGGGATTCGACAAATTACTGATTCAAGAAACTGATAGGTGAAAAGCCAGCATACCAGCTGGATCAAAGTGTTATAGGCGTCTTACTAGTGGATTGCAGATTTTAACCGTTTACTTGAGCCTGAACGCCGCCCTATACCGGGGAGAATGAGACTGAGAAGTGGACAGTAAGTGCAGTTCGTCAGCCATCAACATGTTCATCCGGTCCTCCTCAGGTGCTCATTTAAGTGAATACAACCAAAGAGTTAAAATATCTAGGTAATGCAAATAGACATCTGGTGGTCTCCATCACTTAGGAGAGGCATATTAGACATAGCTAATTATAGGTGTTGCACCAGGTCTTATCAAGACGTGTATGTTTAGTACTAGGGAATGTCAGGATTGCTAGTTTGGCTTTGTCACAGATGGATGCGCGAGACACTGAGTTGCTTACTAGAACCATAACACCATGCTTTGTGTTAAAATACGAAAGCCACATGTTCCTTCCATCACAAGTGTGTTCTGCTGCAAAGAATAGTGTTACTGTTGGTCAGTAACATCGGAAAATTGAAACAAATGTAGCAACGACATGATCAAATGGAAGAGACGGTAAGTTTTGTCTCATTATTGATGCTTTTTATTGGGGAGATTTTAATGACATTTTACGGTCACTGGGCAGCGTTCTTTTCGATCCACTCCAGAACAACTACAGGCTCAGTTTCAGGGTTATGGGCTTATTGTCATGGTGTCATCTTATGGTGAAAGCTTTCAAGGACGAATTCCAATTAAAAGCTCTTTAAGGCGCTTAGTGGCCTTTTTAAAACTGTGGTACTCTTCTATGTTTCAGTTTCAAAGATATTCCTTACTTGTCGATCGGATCTCTCCACTTCATTCATACTTAGCACTGTCGCGAGAGAAAACGTAAGTTTTATGATTCCGTCCCGAGGCCTACTACATATAGCAAAACTCAGTGTACTAGAGTGTACTTCCAGCTTGCAAAACGAGCGAAATAACAATATTGAGAGTTAGACAACATACCAACGTCAATATAAAAGCAGTGCCACTGTCTGTCACTCCTTAACACAGGTGAATAAGAGGATGATTCCGGTTTTCCACGTTATCTGTCGTGTATCAATGAAATTAAATTTAACCTGTGATGAAAAAGCTGGGTAGCCCATTAATGTTTCCTCCGGAAGTATCTCATTGTGGTCTACAAATTCGGTCGGTCTTTCCGAGCTAGTACAAAAACGCACTACAAACATTACACCTTCAGAGGAATTGCTTTTGGTAATAGCTTGGGACAAATGCCGTATACAAGTTACCTAAGTGGGATGTTCGATCTTAAAGCCTTGCACAATAATTACGCTAAACACTGAGAGTGACAAACTGCAAATGCCAAGCGCATGTCACATGTCTACTTGACTTCATTACGTAGCGTTGCAAGATGAATACCGGGTTTGTCTAGTCATTTCATGAGCATCCACATATATGCCGAATGTATCAACTTACTGAATAATAAATGGAAATTGCATCAAGTGTGGATAGCGTACCTCTCGGTAAGAGGCAAACTGCACCATTTTTCAGAGCATACCTATCCTGCCAAAATTAGACGACCGAGTTCTTATCAGTAAACCATATTGCCTTTCTGCGTTCGATTTGCCGTTCTGTACCAGCCCTCGTCCTAGTTGTTTTTTAGGCCAGTTTGTTCTAGAAGTTCTTCCGAATAGGTCAAGTAAAGTGAATAAATCAAGTTTTTGACTTTTCTTTTCAGCATTTGCGATGGATGCATAAATAGATATTTTCGATGATCCCAATTTCATGGACACGTCCATCCGCTTTAGAGAGTTTCCAACTGAAAGACTGACAGTATTACAAAACAAAGCAAGTGAAAGCACTCTCACAAATCTTGTGTTCACGCCTACTCACATAACATCTCTCAACTTCTCCAGATTATCGTAGAAAACGTTATGACAATTGGGGAGGAAGAAATAACATGTGAGGTTGACACCAAGCATGTGTTTTGTTACATTCCTCTGTGATAGGGTGAAAGATAAAGCCTTCGAGTCTAGAAAAATACAGATCAGTAAGTACATCTGTGAATGACCAAACTAAAGGATCTGAAAGACCATAGAAATTGTACATCGTTGGCTGGTTTGTTTAGCCCGATATGGGATACGAAAGCAATGCCAGCTAGATAATGAGAGATGGCGTTAAACAGGCACGCGATGTTGTCCGGCCATATCACTTTGATTGGATGTGTAGAATTGTTTTCTGGTTTCGGGATTGTTCAATATGAAGGTCGTCGAACTAAAGTAGCGCTCTTCGGTTGGAGCGCTCGTCCATGGATCTGCCGATCTTGGTGATTCTGTAAACACTTGGCCGGGCAGATGAATTCTAGGTAAGGTGAACGAGCTTACACAATTTGATGAAGAAGGAAATATCGGCGGTATGGCATTGATAGTCGCATACTTAAGGGGTGGTCTAATGACCACTGTCCTTGGAATGGATCCTACACGAGTTTGACGTCGACGAGCTGCAATTCGGGAGGCCGTGACAGGTTCAAGAATTGGGAATGGTGGCGAGATCATTGCGTTTGAATATCGTAAGCATTTCCCAAGGGACTGTGGAGGAAAAAGGAAAGAATGAGTCGGTTTCTAGTTACAATGTCATGTCATTCCTGACTATACTCCTCACGTCTTTGCTTCACTACTAATCTATGAAATCTATGAAATTAACGCAACTTGCGTAAACGGATTTCAGTTTCCTACAAGAAGACCCACAGGGCGTCTTGGCGAACACCTTTGACCAAATTCAAAGAAAAATGAACAAAATAGGCGAAGCGACCATTAGGATAGTTTTTTGAGCATCTGTTCGCATGCCCAAAAACAATGCCATTGATGTAAATGAGGTTCTTGAAAAGGATAAATAAGCCCATTTTTTGGATGGCCGTGAAGAGGTTTGTCGTCACCAAAACCAAGGTCAGGATATGTGCGGATTATGTGCTCCATTCATGTCACTGAAACACGAATACGAGAGGGGATGAACTACGCCAAATATTAACAGGTTTTTGGAAATCCCCCAGCATCGGGCGTGTTAGTGTGCAGTTGAAAATACTTATTTCAGGTGTAAAAGTTGGCCACCTCGAGAAAAATTGTGAGTTGTCAGAACTTTCAACCAAATAGCCAGCGATCCCAACAAAAAACAGCTTTCAAACCACTAGTTTCGACTTTGAACACATAATAACGGAAAATTTGGCTCAGCAGCAATGACATTTGCTACAAGTAGTCTTTTGTCCAAACTGTTTCAGCAAATTGCAAAGTTGCTTTTATTGGATCAACGCTTATCAAGGGATTGAACTGCGGCTTCTCTTGAACATTTGTCTACAGTCGAGTAAAAATAATCTACCATAAAAACCACTTGTCAGTCTGATGTGTATTTTTTATGAAGGATAATAATCGCATTTATGAATGATGTTCGAATGTGGCATATGGACAAGATCAGGCAGAAATTGTTTGTAAATGGACTCAAGACCATACCAATCAGAACTGACCTACACGCTAGTTCTATTACCCAATTAATAGCCTTGTTCACTTGCGTCTGGCGCAGCGATAAAAATTTAGCCCCATTTTTCCAAAACCTGAACAAAAAATCCATCGTAGCTTACAAGATGTTTACACTGCTTGAAGTTGTTACTCGGGGAAGAAGGCCTAAATTACCACAAAACTCTCAGTATCATGGTTGTTTCTGCTAAGCTCTTGGTGGTGTGGGAATATTTGGTCAATTTCTGATCCTTAAACTGTGGGGACACATGATTAACCCAGTTAGAAATACTCAAGAAGCAAGACACAACAAAAACGCATGAAACGAAAACATTTGTTATTGACTATAAGGTAACGGAAAAATAACAGTAACTGAACTGACGAGCATGTCTATTGTAACGAACGGAATGCAAGCGTTTCACATGAGAGCTTGCATCATATACGTGGTGACACCTGGCATTAGACGTGATAAGGAAGCCAAAAACAGATTCTCTGTCATAGATACTTTCTTGGCCGTTTAAAGGCAGCATAATTTCTGGCAGAATAATATTGTCCCACAGAAGTACCATCGTGGTATGAGGAATTGGTCGTCCGTACGAGAGGTTATGTAATTCCAGTGAACACCTCTAAGAATTACCTTATGTTAGGTCTGTTAGAGCTTAAACTAACCCAACTCAATGCTAAGCCAACCCTTGTGAGTGTACTTGCAACAAAGGCTTTCCTCGGTCGTGACTCACTCCCTTCACAAGAGGCTGGACACAATGGAGACAAGCTCGACCGACTTCATAGGCAACGGTTTACCAAGCCTTATCAGTGACCTTTACTGACCAACAGAGGGTAACACTGTTGTACAGTTGCTCACATCTTTTTGACGGTATTCCGCACAAACGTTTACTAAAAAGAGAGACCAATAAAAAATCGTCAGTTGTAAAACTCACTTGAGAATCAAGTGAATTGTGGGAGATAGACGAATTTATTTCGCGTGGCAGCTCGTGCCGATTTTGAATCCAGGCATGTTTCAGCACATTTTCGGCAGCAAATGTTTTCAGTTTATCCGGATGTACAAGCTGTTGCATGAGGTTCTAGAACCAAGAGAAATGCCAACATGTATTAACGAGGAGAATCACTGTCTTCAAGAGCGTGCCAATCAAATGGAAGTTTAGAATGTTCAGTCATGATGAAAACTATGAACATCCATATAAATATTTCTCTATTCGGACGTCAATAGTGCCGATACTGCTAAGACTGCGAACGCTTGTATTTGATCTGTAGACAGTGGGAAACATGCAGTCAATATAAATGATTCTACTTCACACAAACGCCTAAAGAAAAGTATTGTAAGAATTACTATGTTGTATGAAGTACGACACTTCATTTTTCATGGCCGAAAACCTTTGAAAAATCACCAGGGATAGCTTCTTTCACACGCAACTCCGGCCACCGCTTTGTGTAAAAGTGAGTAAAAAGCCAAATGTTTATGTTCGTTGTACGCTTTGAGCTAAATTGTATTGGAAAGAGACATGGATATAAGGTGTACGTGCCCAGTCACCTCACTTATAGTCGGGTATCTTGATGTTTCTGCATGCCCATGGCAAGTCTGTATTCTAACGTACATAGTGCGTTCCATATAACTCCACTGAGAAATGGAAGATTTTGCGGTGGTGGAGTGCCCTGCGGTAGTAACAAACAAACGGGCAAAGGAGCAACTTGAATACTTCTTGTAATCGCATCCGTTTGATCTATACATGCTTTGTGTTTGTTAGAGCCCAAATGCAGATATGTTCTAGTTCATTTGAAAGGCCGATTGCCAAAAGGACTTCTAATATTTTATATTTGCTCATTCTACAGTATTCAGGTTGAATTATCTGAATTGGGAGGGCCATTCTTTGATGTATGTTGCTTCGTTCCGGTGGCATTCACGGAGACAAGTATATCCACTCAAGATGAACCGCTGCAAAGAAGAGCGTTATTTGGGCTGGTTTCCAGAGGATGCGCATCTCACTCTTTGTAATTTCAAAGTGGTACTTATGAAACAAATGAAGAAATGAAAATGAAGCCACCCCAGTTACTTCTCCAACGGCATTCAGAAAGAACCAGACAAAACCTTTGGACCAATACATATGCTGTATAAAGTATAATAACTGTATCCGCACGTTTCTTCATTAGGACTTTATCCTGTATCCCAGTTGCAGTCATTCTGGCTAGTGTGAACAAATTGTTGGAAGCGACGGACCAGCTTTCTTTTCTCGTCAGAAGTGGATATAATTGTTTATGCCGGGTTAAAATCCTGGACCTGTGCCAAACAAGTTTACCTGAAAAGTGCCTAATAAGAGCATCCAATTACCATATCCGAACACGCAAATCTGTCAAAGTTCCAGTAACGAGAGTGGTTTGCCCACACCCTCGAAAGTCCACTACAAGTTCTGGTTTTGTCTACCGGGACATCCGCTATTTAGGATTTTCATGAGTTCGCAGCATCAAACTTGCTGGATACAATTGGTCCAAGAAAACCAGAACGGATACGGTGCTCTCGAACAAGCCGTTTAATAATTCTTTCACACAGCAGCAACATAAACACATTACATTGATCACTTGTGACAATTTACCCGTGTTAGCTGTTGGTGTAACTCGCTCTCATATTATGTTAGATTACCGGGGTTAGGCTTCAGCGTTGCCAGTGGTATGTACTGCTCATGAACTCCTATGAGAGAAAAACCCAAGTCCAGTAATTCCCTTTCTAGCCTATACCAACCGGAATAATTTCTCCATGACAGAAGTATCGTCCAAGCAAGCGTAATGTGAATAAAATTTTGCATATTCTGTGATCACCTGATAATTTGAAGAATATGTTGCAGAATGTTCCACCATGTTAAACCAAAATATTTCGGCTGCCAATGAGCGCAAAATACGCCAGTGAAAACCAACGTTCATCAGGTAATTATGAATATCTAACGCCCTTATTACGATAATTTTATAAACCCAAAGGAAATTGACTATAAATGATCGAACAATTCAATCATGAGTTTGTATAAACAGATATTTCGTGGGAAACTCCTAGAACGTTTGCTAAAAGCGCTTCAACAAAGAGCTGCTTATTTCGTTATTTTGCATCCTTTGTCCTTCTTACCGTGAAAAGTAGTATCAACTCGGTTTTTGAACTACTCTTTTAATTCCATGGATTTCACCATGGAACCATGTGCGTAAGCTTCCAGTTTACCTTGGATTAACCACTACTAGTTTGATAGTACGAACATGAGCCGACCGTATGGATATACCAACCACACCACCTGATTGGTCTAGAGCGACCGGTTACTGTGTTTTCACAGCACAATGTTTTCTTAGTAAATTCGATTAATATTCGCGATTGTGTTCCCTTGAAATATGAATAAGTATCTTGTGGTGCGTCTGCTATGGGTACGCATGCCTAAAGGAAAAGACGTTTTGCAAAATGAATCGGCATTATAACATTGAAATATAGTCTTCCGCTAAATTTTGCATGTATGGAGCAGGAGGAACACGGCAAAACATGGTATTGTTTGAGTTCGTAAGCCTTTGAATATGTGGGGGAAATTCGGGAAGCAAGTCAACCGTATTCAGCAATTACCAATGGTATTTCTTATTTGCCAGGCCAGATTTCAGTGCAACAACGGTATGCTTGCAAAGAATATGAATGAAACAGAATATTGTGGACAAAAGACAATAGGTAGGAGAACCCTAGTTTGTTTGAAATATTTTGAATTACGATACAAAATGTGCGAGAAACTCAATAACCTAATGCCTTCTGAAATCAACATAAGAGTGCGGCTGTAAAGACTCGTTCAAAATTCAATCAGAGACCGCCACTTGATGAAAATCGTTCCAAAAAGCAGTGGCAACCAAGCGGACCAATCCTACAACGTTTTTCATTCTTATTTATTATTAAATCTGCATGCAATGATAAATAATCCAGCCTGTGGTCTCTATTGTATGGCTTATGGAGGCGTTTTTGGTGTACTCTCGGGTTGATCCTAACTACGACCATGTGAAAGCGCTTGTACAAAATAGATCTTAGAGGCAGACAAGAAGGCGATAATGAAAGTAGACGGTATATGTTGCATCAAACAATGAGACATGTTGTTATATTGTGAGTATTTGAATAAGTTTCAGTATGGAAATACCTAAGAAATAATAACAGGAACAAACGGTTTTGGTGGCAAACGCTTTAGTATTAGATGGGCCGATGTTATCATTGCACAGTGGAAGTCTCACTCTGTAACAAGACTTTCGCAACCAAAGGGCAGCGAAAAGAACGAAACTACTGAAGCCAAGTTTGGAATACAACCCATAAAAAGGGAGCGGATATCACCGGAAAAATGGAGTTAAGGTCAGGTTCCGGTTGAGGATATTGAAACATGCTCACATATCCACTAACTGACTTATGCATGAGTATACGAGGATATATGTAGCAAGTATGGCAGATATGAGTTATTTTGAAATATTTTGAATTACGATATTGAAACATGCTCACATATCCACTAACTGACTTATGCATGAGTATACGAGGATATATGTAGCAAGTATGGCAGATATTTCGGACATTTGTTGGAGAGCAAGTAGAGCCAAAAGATTAAGGGCAAATGGAATCTCCATAAAAAATTTCAAATCCCACAGAAAACAATCAAATTTCTTTCCTAAGATTGACAAAAGATGTGGCTGCAGAGGCGTAGCATTTGCGGGGCATATAAGTAAAATGTAGAAACAATGATCAATAGAAACTGATTAGTTGATATCCGCAAGTTATCTGATCATCGCCAGTGTAAGGAAATCGTCTGCTTCAACCGCTTTTGCGCACATAGTCATAGCTCCCTTGACTTGATCAGCAGGGTTTTGTTTTCCGATAAAATCTTGATGGTTTCTTTCGTGCAAGAATCGCAGTAAGTACACCACGGTAGTCTGATGGCTAACATCTAACAGGTGTCTGTCAACTGATGAAGCATCATTGTGGTTTGTCCTCTGAATTCATTTTGGTCCCGACAACATGAGGATTGCACATTTCCTGCCGCAGGGATGGCAGCGTCTTCGCCGCTCCTGGAGAGATCACAGGCTGCCTAGAAGGCAGATAGTTTAGACAGTCTATGTTCAGGTTTGTGCAGAGCTAATCTTTCGGTAGTAGATAGCAGACGTGGCTGAGATAATGTACAACACATTCGAAACCAGACGCTAGCTTGCATTTATGCATTTGTCTTTCAGCTAAAGGTCTGCTTGATGGATCAGGGTTGTTTTTCCTCCAACTCAAATATGAATTTCAGTGAAACGCTCTAAACGATGGTTCTTTAGCGTGGTTATTATTGAACGTTTCTTTTCTGCTCCAGTTTATCGTGGCTGCTTCCTTACAGTGTAGAATAAACTGCCTTACATTCCGCAATTATATGCTTTTGGGATGTGGTTACAGAATCATAGATCGTTTTTACGTTACTACGCTCGGATACGTGAGGATCTAAATTTGCATGGACTGTCCACTTCAGAAACTACCACTCAGGGAAGACCGTCAATAATACATCATGGGTGTCAAAAAGTGTAACCAAGAAATCCGTTGTATCATGTCTAAATGTAGGTAACTCATACTGGTAATTAGGGAGTGAGTAATGTTAGAGTCGACCGCTGCCACATATAATTCTGGCAAAATGTACGCACATAATAATCTGGCTCTAGAGAAAGGGAAATGTGAAAAACTCACCACATACCTGAACTGAGGCAGATAGATTTTGAAATAGCGGACTGAGTTTAAGGTCAGCTGAACTATTCGCATCAATCTGTGAGGATGCCAAGACTCCGTGCGTATGCGAGCCTGGACCCAAAAGCATGTCCAGTAGAATTTGTCCCAGGCCCCAAATGTCATTAGCAGCCCCTGGAGCACTGAAATGTGGATCCTTCAGAGAAAGAAACATGTTTTAGCCGGAAGTTTGCGATTTTAGTAATTATCTGGTGTTAGGCATCATTCAGCATGGCTGCTAATTCCTTCATCGCAACACATTAGACACTATTTACGGAATATCAGTAAACCAAGCAGTAAAAAGGAAAAAAATGGATTGACTCATTATATAGTCAGCTTCCCGTATCCAATATTTGTTCCTCGAATTTTAAAATGAGTTATCTAATGTGGGCAAACTGGTTGCTTTCTAGGGGTTTTCCAAAAGCTCGTTCCCCAAAAGAAGACAAAACAGAATATTCCTTTCTGATTGACCAAACCGCATATAAGCTGTTTTGAATGAAGACATCCATAAGCCAACGTAACTACCGAACACGTGAGATAACGATGTCGTCCAGTGTTACCAAGTGGCTGACAAGATACACCTGGCACACGCAAGCCTATATAGACTAGACATTATCTTCCCTAGAGGTTCGCTTTCCGTAAAGACACGCGTGTTCATAACAGAGGATAAACCCCATGGATCTTTTACTGTTTTTATGCTAAAATAACTTCATGGTTTGTTTGAACAGAAGTGTGAAAATCACTGTGTGCAAATCCACAAAACAGCCCTTTCCTGAAAGTTTGCTCGAATCAATTGTTTGGTTTTTTTAGTATTAGGACGTTCACCCGATAGGAATATGTTATATGTGATAAACAATAGCGGAATAAGCAGACTTTGCACACCGGTAAACCGTACAAATTGCCATGTGACCGAATAAACCAATAAAGTTAAAAATACTGTAATCAGATGACGTAGTCAGACCCATTTTGTGGTTAAATTCGTTGGGAACTTCCCGCCGCAATAAGTGCAACGCTAAAGATGGGAAAAATCAGGCAATCCAACCCGCCTTGATAACAAAATTGACGCACCTGGCCTGCAGAGGTTCCGTGTATTTCACCGCCAGAATTCTTCCTGAATTTGTCCATCGCGAAGTCTGTGATCAACAGGGAACTTGGGTTTTGGTCCAGACCAGAATAAACTACGCTGGATGCGTTCAGATTTCCGTGAATCACCTTAAGTACAACAAGTGACGAAGGGTGACCAATTATACGAGCTGTCAGCATGATCAGAATATTTGTCTACTGATTGGTTGTTCAGTAATGCTAACTTAAACAAAAAATATTTAAAGGCACTTCCATGATCCGTTCGTCATTTCGATGGCCCACAAATAGCCACGTCAATGGAAAACGCTGATATTTCGTTTTATGTCAGAAGTTCATCAGACCGTGACGAAGTTGGGTACCCCTGAGAAACCAATAGAAGTTAGGTTGTTTGGAGTCAGCACTAACCTAACTGCCACAGCGCCCAGTTCTAAGACTCCAATGGGTATAACTAATATTTACCTGCCTGGATACACTGATTCGAGAATAACGAACTGTAAGGTAACTTCCAACAACATGTAAGATGTGGTGATGGGAATTCTCGTAAATTAATCGTCATTTTAAATTGAGTTAAGCCAGGAGAAATTAGTAGAGCAGCAACTGATGTTATAGTAAAAAAAAACAAGTCGTATTGCGGATTGCCGCAAAGTTAACTCACGAAGTATAAAATAAAGCATAGAAGAAACGAAGAGCTTTAAAGTAGCTGAAGTTTTGCACCTATTGCAAAGAATGTTTTTAGTCTAACAAATGGCCGCGTGCTGTTTTTGATCACCAAAAGTCATTATATGTCGCTAATTTTCTAAAGCTTAAATTTTATTGAGTTAAGCAGCTGGAATAGTTTGTAGTGCATTTTACTGAGGGTGATAAGGCAAAACTGCAGAGAGCGCCTAAGAGAAACTTGCGCATTATAAATAATAAAAAACTTAGAAGAGAGTGACTCAATAGCGAACCAGGATTGACGCGTAAAACTTGATATATTGTTCGGGCTATGGGCTGGAACTGATGAAACGGCTAGCATTTCTCCGAATGAATTAGTTTTTTGAGGAATGTGGCATAATTTTAGACAATTTTACTGTGCCTACAACCGGAGAAAACAAGCAATTCACGCACGTTTACAAACTACGGCTTTTCAGGTTTTATAGCAAAAGGCGCCAGTTTACTTAACTTCTAAATACGAAACTGTATAAAACGTTATCAGAAACTAATCAGATGATATGATGAGATCAGTAAGGCTTTCGACGTCAACGTTAGCGAACAGCATTTGTTTGGTTTCAGCATCTTAATTCCCTCATCAAAGTGAATTATTTTTAACATCTTAGATTTGTTCAAATACGAAGAAGTCCGATATAATTCGAGATTGTTTGTTTAGGCTAATTATTGTTCGTCCCTTCCTTTTCAAAATATAAGATGGGATTCCTTGTTCAGGGGGATTTGGCGTGTCGGTTACGTTGAGGCTCTCTGGGACGCAAACCAAGTGGGTTTTAAGGCCGATTAATCAGTAATGAATCTGTTAACTTTAAACGTGCCGAAGTTTGCGTTGGGTAGATTTTGGAGGGAAAAGAATTTACTTTGAACGATTAATTAGTGAATCTCCGTAATGACTTGTGTGCCGACTGAAGCGAATGGTTAACACCAACAGAAACCCAATCATGCGTTGGAGCCTAGTAGATGAAGAGTGGTCGGAATGCGAGGGACTAAATTGCATAATGCACGCAACTTCCATGTCTAAATATCCCCGCGTTTTTTGTGATTAAACTGAAACAATTTAGTTCGGCCCAATAGAAATTTTTAGGTGGTTGAGCAGAACTTAAAAGATGGCCCAGGTTAAAAAAATGTCCCTGAGGAATTGGATGATTGAACAAGAGTTAGGTTGCCTCAAATCCAAACCCAGTGGAAAATTATAGTCTTCTAAAACCACTAGACATTTGTCAGTGCATTCATAAAAACATTAAGACGTCCTACTTATGGTAGTCTGGCTACAATAAAGATAACTGTCGAACACGTTTGCAATAATAAAATTGACTTTTCAAACACTGAGTGAGGAACACTTTGCTGCTTCTTGTAATATTGAATAAAAAACTCATGAAAGCTGTTACAAGCAGTATAAAGTTGACACGGAAACATCGAATTTTTCTAGAGTGCACGCAATCGGCAAGCTGTAATCCACGTGACTTACGCCATTCTCGTGAAGCACCTGTAGGGTGGTGGCCAAAATCTCGACTATGCAACAAGCTTCGAATTCGGAAAGCCGGCCTTTACGCGAAATTCTGTCGCTCAACCGGCCACCCGGTGCATAGTCTGTGACCAAATAAATGTGCGTTTCCGAAATGTACACCTAAAGCAAGAAGAGGTGAGTTACGTGATATGACAACATTTGACTTAAAAATACAGATAAACACGATCGATTGCTTTAAGTGGATATCTGTGGTCATAGATTGGATGAATTATAGTCGATGGTGAGTTTAGCCCGCAGTGTGAGCGATGGTAGACGCTTGGTTCTCCTTCCAGTTACCACATTTACTTGAAAACAAGTAGAAATGACTAGTGTCAAACTTCCAGAAGCGCACACGGAAAACACAACGATCCAGAAATAGGAGAAAAGGTTTATCTAGGAAGCGTGTGACCCTTGACTTCAAATGTCTAATTTGGAGGGCCAAACGTTTCAAAACGCACAGCGACTTTCCAACGACTAATCTCTGCTCTTATGGCTGATTGGTGTCCAGCATTTTTGTCAGTTATATCACGGCTGCTTTGCTATGGATTGCAGTAATTTTTAACAAAAAAAGCTGGTCAACAGAGAAAGCTTGGGACATGAAGCTATGATAAGCCGTAAAGATAGCTGAAATGATTTTGTAGATGCTTCAACTGTCCTAACGCTAACAAATATCCACAAACCAACGTGGAATCTCACTGTGAATCTAAGAAAAAAAAACTCTGGGAAAATGAATTACCATGAATCAGCTTGTTGAGTAATATGTTTATCACAAACCGATTGCTTAACATCACTCTCTAAAGTGGATGAAGCGTGTGATTCGGTGTATGCTTATCATGTAACTACGTTCTTTTTGTCGCCACCCAAAATGGCCATAAGACAGGGCTTTGGAGACAAAAGCTTGCGCGCGTCAAAAATTTAATTTGTGTTACGTTTTTTTAAACTGTGCCATTTTTGGATTGGTTCACGTCATAGCCTATTCATAGAAATGGTACATCTGTCTAACTAAGCAATTTTAGCAAACCGCAAGGGAGACTTATTATAGTAACAACAGATTGATTACAATAGTCGCGTATTTATGTCAGCTTTGGAGGCCGTGTGAAAGAATATGGTGTTCCGTTGTGCGACCAGGGTATTGCAAAGTAGTTTTGAATCAACACTCCGGTCTATTTTATTTGCCTCTATGGGATGATTAATGGTTCATAGCGTAGAGACATGTAATCGGCAAGTAACACTAGGTTACCCTCGGAACTGTACTAACCGAAACCATTGAATTAAGCAGAGTGAAGTACAAGACAATAACGGAGGGTGTTGCCTGTTCTAGGCTTCTGGCTGCTTGTGGTTTAGCGTTTTATTAGAACCCTGATTCACTTGAGTTTTTTTCGATTTTTTCAGCTATCATGCAAGATTCAGATGGTAAATGAGGGTAAAATCAACTCTCAATGTCCCAGAAGAAGTATATGTTTTCGGTGGGTGAGTGCTGTGTATATTAAAGGCGAAATTCCCCATTTATTCCCGGCTGACCTCCGGTTAAGCATACACGATTCCCACAAAAGTTATTTTGCTCCCTTTTGAAAAGCCATTTAATCTGCAACTCGTTCAAATTTGCATCGCCTTTGAATTTCCGGCTGAGTTATTTTGCCGCTGAGTTTTACATAGCCTTCAAGCTACATTGCGTCCTGATTCAGAATGTACTCCTGTAATTTTATCCACACAACTTTAAAACACGAATTATTTATATATGAAACTCTAACATGATCCACCTACCAGAAGTCTTAGGCGTTCTCAGTAGATGCTTTGGTTTTTCCTACATTTGAGTAATTTATGTACGGTAGGGGGAAAATGTGTGGTTCAAAATTCATATGGGATACCGCACTTTGAAGACACCTGTAATACATTCACAATTCAAGTTTGTCATTCAGCACCAAAGTAAAAAATGTGGGAGAAATGCCGTTTGCTCCAAGAAAGGCATCGTGCTGCCCCATTTATCAGTCAGAAACACGTCATTCTTAATTTAGTTCAAAGCTGACAGAAAACTACTTCCTAGGGAAACGCACTCGGCGTGACAGGTGCCTGGAATTCGTCACCAGTACGTTAAAATCCATTTTCTGGAGGAAGCCATCAGTGACATGAACTATTCACATACCACACAAAGTCTTTTGATTCAAAACAGTAAATGTGAATAAATCAGCTAGAATCAAAACTCACAACCTTTTTTTACCAAACAGTGGTTTTGTATACAAGTAAAAGACTTACGTCAAAGAGAGTGATAACATGCTTCACCTGTCGGAGTCTTTTCAAAATTTTTACTTCTTCCGTAGGATCATAATGTCTTCTGTCTACCATCTGAATGTCGGGGCAAGTCCAAGAAGAATGTAACCAAATCAACATATTCACTTGTTAGATAAAAACTTGTGACCGTCCATCAAAATAATAGGATTACTTTCAAAGTTTTATTTCGGCAGAATTACCAGATAATTATTTAAAAAAATCAATTTACCGTGAAGGAATACAGACGGAAAAACAACCACAGAGGAGCCAAGTTTTGAGGTCGCTCACTTAGCGATTGGAAATTCTATCAGCTCAAAAGTCACAAATTACGGCGCATTTCATCGGACAATTTGTTGCATAGTTGAGTAGAGGGTATCTAAATCATCTTGGCTGGCAAGACATTTGTTTAGTATGAGGTCTGGATCTCATCAATAAATCAGTATCTTTGTCCAGATAATGCTTCTTTCTAACAGTTACTTGCTGAAAACAGGTCATTTTGCTATGGGACAAATGTTAGTTAGGACTAAATATTTTGTTTTTATCCACTCAAGTTGGCGGACCATATTATGAGAAACCATCTCGTGTTTTTTGAAGGTATTCTGCTTTTAGGTTTCGGAAAGAAGAAAGATAGGAAACGACAAAACCACATCTTCGTCAGTATAAGCAAACGTACTTTCACAGTTCTAACTTCATATGTATGACGATGGACACACCGCCGCTGGATCATATGATTATTCTGCTCAATAATCTCTCGTAACTCATATTCTTGTGTGAATAGCTCCAGGCTTTTGTAAGCTGGATCGTTTGAGGTTGCATCAAGAACTCCATTCAGATTGACACTGATTTTTCTTCGTGTGCTTACAACACCAGCTGAATCTTTCTCGATTGCTATATCTGTGGACGGCGAAATAGTCACAGATTGTCGCCTGTCACGTTCGAAAACTGCACTGAATTGGATAGTGTTTATTCCGCCAAATTCCCTGGGGGAATCTTTCTTGTTGTCCGTTCCCGCCTCGTTGTGATATTTCAAGGTGGCTGTGTGAATTGAATAAAAATCGGTGTTACTAAAATAGGTCGTTATTCTGCTAAAGCAAGTGACCGTAAAGCAATGGATGAAATAACATTCACATACATTTATTTCGAGGGAAATTTGTTGCTGATTATTTTGGCCTTAGTATTATCATACTTTTATGACGCTATTTGGCACTGCTTGCCTCCGCCTCTAGTTGTGCCATGGTTAATGCGAAAGCTGTCAAAAGGCTTTGCTGATCAGTCGTCTAGCTCCCTTCGTCCTAGAAAACTCATTCTGTCTGAAACAATCAAGGGGTGGAACAGGGCGTATTTTCAGGCATGCGATTGCTGGTAGTGCAGGAAAGGGAACGCCTGCGGATCGCTGAACTTTCCTTTTCGTATCATGTTTCAAAATCTTGAGCCAACTTTGATCACCAGCTCACTGCAGTCACGGGAAACTCCAAAGACACTCTGTCTTCAAGCCCGGCTAATAAAGGGTTGTGACAGTGCAAAGTGTTGTTCAGAGCGATTCATTGATAGATGGATCTAAGAGTGACTGGTTTGTAAGGTGACATCAAAACGGTGGTCAAAAACGAGCAGTACAGCCACCAGCGCAATGTTATTTGCATCACTACACTTTGAAGATTTGCCTTGGGAGAATATAGCACCAACTAAATTCAAAGAGAAATCAGGTGTTCTTCGTGCATGTCACATAACGGTCTATGATACCGCTTATGTATGTTGGAAACATTGCTGTCTAATAGATCCAACGAAAAGAATTTGCTGACGATTATGCATAGTCATACCAAGAATTTGTTCAAGTCTTAGTTTTCAACAGCCAGTATTTGGCACCAAAATCTGGTTTGTTCTTAATAACTTATGACTTCAGATCAAAGTGATTACCGTACATTTTACAAACCTCTAACAGGCAGTCTTAGTTGTTGAGTAAGTGGTTTACGGATATTTGCGTGAAATTTTAAAGCGATGGAGCTGAATGTGGACAGGAAAAGTAAAACAAATAATGGTGGCCAATATGAGTTAGGAGAAATTGGCAACTACTGTAAACTTAATAAAAGTGCATAAACACGTTGTCCTTCCGCAATGAAACAAAATAATCTGTTTGAAATATCTACTGTGCAGAAGTGCTTACATGCATTCACCGAAAGTTGCATAAAGCGGATGATGGTTGTGAGTGACGTCGGTGACTTCATTAGTGAGTATGGGTGGTACAGTTATGTCTGAATGCATAAAACGGGCATGTGACTACTATCCAATGGGCTCCCTCTGTTTGCAGGCGCTTTGTGTACAGCACTGTCATCCAAGCATGCGTAATTCGCACTGCGTTTGCAAAAACATTGTTTACTACATTTGTTACAAATTCACTCCATCTACTAAAACGCGATTATGATCAAGGTCACTTGGGTTGGGCCAATGAGGATAAACCAACGCCGAGGAATTGGTACGAATATTTGCTAAATTTCTGACGGACTGGTTGTGGATCTAGGGAGATGAAATGCCGTATTGTCATTGTGATTTTTTGTCCTTAAGATCGTGAACTTGACAGCAAAGTTCGCTGGGTTATCAGGAAATTGCTGGCAAGAATGCGGAATATAATGTAAAGTCTTGCTGATTCTGTTTGTAGTACATAGTGAGATGTATTCTTTTGATCTGCTCTACAATATGCAGTTTACCATCTAAGGAAATAAAGCAGCCAACCATATGGATAGATATAAGACATTCAGCCTTGAAGTGAAATACTACACAGGTGGTCGTATTGGAAGCAAGGGTTCTCAAAATCGGAAGCCACTTACTCGACGTACATATAAATCCGTTCACTAATTATATCGTCAAAGTCTGCTGTCACTCGGACTAATAATCTAAAGACCGTTTGCCAGACATTTTCAGTGTTGATTTAATCAGGTATTATGGCAGTTATAAAATGAGAAATCCTTGGATGGCTGCCAACCACAATATCGACTGGAAGTTTTAATCCAGTTCACCGATTAAACAGGAGAGCATCACTGTATCCATCCATAGCTACATGAGCTGCAGTTATTTTGAAACCAACTCACATGTAGAAACACAATGCTTCCATCTAGTAGACCGCATTTGGTTCGGCACATCTTTTGCATTTTGCAGATTCCTGGTAGGTTAAAATTATTTCCTGGACATACAAACTCCACTCATTTGTTCACTGGGATTTTCTGGACAACCAGTTGCTAAAGTTTCTGTCTTTGATACTCAAACGGTGGCAGTAGGCAATGTCTTTTTGCACTACTGATGCACTCAGATTTGACACAACTAGAAAAAACACTCGTTTTTACAATGAAGGAAATGCAGTTGATTCCAAGATGAATCTCCTGTTCCTTATATTCTTCAATTGGTTGTGCTGCGCAGATATCACAAAGGAGAGATTTATTTAGTATTCATTTGAGTCCTCCAGGAATACCAGAGACTTTTGGAAGACCTCTTTTACTGAGTGACCCGCTCCCATGAAAACGGTTTTTATCACAAGTGCATTTGTGAGTTGTTTGACGAACAAGGTTACCGATTGCGAATGAACATTATGAGTGGATAAAGTATGAGGATCGGAGCTGCAGGTAGAGTTTGCTTGATGACAAACAACTCTCCGAGCTTGCTTACAAATAAGACCACCAACAAGTAAAAGCAGGTCATGTTACGCATGTCTCTTAAACCAGGGTTTCTATATTCTTGCATTGAGCAACGCTTCTCTGTGCTGAACAGAAGACACTGGTATCAAAAGATATCTTTCACTCATTTGAGGCACGGATAATGCTACCATACGTTCTCCTTCTATCACGGTGTTGTAATTTTTTCGTCACCATTCAGAGCAGACGCTGCTGTCAACCGACCAAATGATGTTCAGACAAGAAGAAATAATAGCTGACCTCCGGACAACCGTTACGCTGTGGAGGCAGACAGTTTTTGTGCGCAAAAGTGAAAAAATAAGTAGCGAGGTAAGAGCGAAACACAAGGGGCCTAGTCGGACAATGAGTAATATGATTTACAAACACCCTAGTTCTCTTAGTCCCATCACCACACGCAATCCCGGTAGTTTTTTATATAACCTGGGTTGCTTTTTCCCAGTTTTTTTTTCCGTTAGGTTACGCAGAGGCGTTTTTGTAAACTGCCGGGCACGTACATCTGTAATTAGGTCTAAGTCGCAACAAAAGTCCCAAAAGTGTTTTTGGTTTAAACTGACAGTCCCGTTTTCTGATTATTTACCAGCCCCAATCGGCCAACAACGGGACCAATTGCGTCATGAATTGAGTGACAAAATTTGATTCCACCAATGCGGTACCCGCATACCTGCCGAAAGTAGTTTTTGCTGGTGATTTTATTGATTCATGTGTTTTGTCGATTATTACAGCCTACCCGTGATTGGTTAACGTTTTCTTACTAGGTCGATCCAACATTGTTCACGTTGACACGTAGATAAGGAATGAAATGGAAACCGGCTGAAAAGCAAGCGGTCATCTGCCAGTCTTCACCCACTTCTAAGTATGTAATGCTGTCCATTGGCGCATCATCTTTCTATCACAACTTAACCCCAAGGTCAACTGATGCATGCGCCCAACAAAGACGATCATTTAAATAGACAAACCTGACAGATGTAATATTCAGTATTCGACTATCCTTCAGCCATTCCGCATTTCAACTGTACATGTTTCGCAACACATTCTTGATGGCCGCTCTCGAAAAGGAGACCCGAACGATAATCAAGCATTACTACCGAAATGGTCGATGCAGTGGGAAACAAAGTTGGTGTGACGTATGGTGACATCATTCAATTCCTGTTGTTGACACGTCAATGCGAGCTCAGATGCAAACAGCTGTTGACGAAAGACCACTTTAAAGCCCTATGATGTTTAAACATTGACACCTTATACTGCTTCCCGAACCCTACGATGGGAGTGGAACCGTTTTAGTGCACACTTATTACAAAATTCACTCAAACGAATCGAAATTTAAAAGGATGGAAAATGAGAGGGAAGAAGTTTACCTCATTGAGTAGACTATCTGAAGTGTTACACCACCTGAAATAGACGGGGATCACTGATGCTGAACTTTCTAACTCATCCGTCTTATTGGCACCGCAGTACTTTGCTTACATGGTCTGCCACTGGGTATAGAAAAATATGGTACACAAGAAAAGCTGATTCAGCCATCCACCTGGGGAAGATAAACCTACGCTGTGTATGGCGTGGAAAAGACCTAAGCGGGGTGCATACCTAAAGTGTAAGTAAAGCGAAGGATACTCGGTAAGAAAAGAGCACATTCGGGTTGAGAATCCAGGCAAATTAGTTATTTGGCAACAGTCCTAGCTGCAAGCGTGAATGTAGTGAATGGAGTTAACAACTACGCTCACGCAACATAAAAACCATAAACGGATCAAAAGAAGAATGTTAAGGCACCATGAAGGTTCGTTCAGTTTTGAGCAAAGTAAATTATCACCAAAAACTAAAAACGTCATTTGATTTTCACATACATGAGGATAATTCATCCCGCTGTTAACTCAACAAAATCCAACAGTTCTTGAGCGTATTTAGAGTGCCAAATGATTTTAGCTTGAGGAAATACTTGGTGTTTGATGAAATAGGATCGTAGACAACTGAGAGTTCATTATTAAACCCCACCTTTCAGCCAGACCAGTCGGTCACCTGAGTTATTTAGTGCGCTGGAAATTTATTGTAAAGTTTTGTGGCATCGTAGATAGAAGATTAAGACGGTTTTTGATGAGCCGGCAACACCAGTTTAAATGTAAGACTTGGGTTCGTTAACAATGTTTTGAGCATTTTTGATACAAAGGAGATTAAATGGGGTATCCAGTCTCTCACAGTTCTGAAAGTTTCAGAAAAATCAGTAAATCACTTCCTCACCTAGTTGAATCCATTAAGCCTGTTGTTAGCCTAATGCCACAAATTTTTGCGTGTATGCTCACTGTGGGGTGGCTCACATTCGACGGAGGAACTCGCATGAAAAATTAATGGCGAGGATCGCATCAGACTGAAGAAGAGGGTGTAGTGTTCATACTAGTACAGCATAGTAATAAGTCGATACAGGTCCTGGAATATCGACAGTTACAACTCAGTATGTGTAAACTGGCAGCTTATTGTGAGAGCTCTTTCTGGTTTCATCGCCTCAAAGACATCATCAGCCTTAAAACTACTCAATTATTTCGTATATGACCATACTTATTCCTCTCAATGGCCAATAAACGAGAGCGCCATCGACGGTTTGAAGCTGGACATGCCTCTGATGATAATGACAAAGAAGAAGGGGACTAGGAGGAGTAGGCAAAACGCACAAGCGCATTCGGCCGTCATTTTTTGCTCAAAATGGCTGGGATTGACAGATAAGGTAACACTAGTCGGGATGGTCATTCTTTATGGACGATAGGTAAAGCAAAAAATCTCTAGCTACTGTGGTGCTTCATTTTGAGAATGGGTTAACTGAAATTGGTGGGAACCGAACGTCTGCCACAGCACAGAACCGAGTGATGAAGTTTTTCTCTCATAAACGGACACTTGTTCTACTGGTATTTTCGTTTGTGGGAGTGCTATGTGTACTGTTTTTCACACATCCCATCATTTCGTGCTTCTTTATTACGCTAAAAATCCCAATGGAGTTTACTACGCTTGCCAATCATATATATGCATATATATATTTATACATAATTACTCGAAACCGTACGTGAACATATCCATCATCTCATTTGCAGCGGTCGCCCATGGCGGGATGAACGGTATCATCGTATGGAGTTTACTACGCTTGCCAATCATATATATGCATATATATATTTATACATAATTACTCGAAACCGTACGTGAACATATCCATCATCTCATTTGCAGCGGTCGCCCATGGCGGGATGAACGTGTATCATCGTCCTACAGATGTCCCTATCAAGCTGAGGGGAAATCATACACTAGAACTGAATCAGAGTTGTGGAGTATGCAGAATGCCTCCCTCAAGTCAGGTCTCTGCTACACGAGGATACTAATTACTTTGGGTAATACAAAACAGATGTAACGAAATTAAATTTTCTCCAAGTCACAATTTCTGGTTGATCTGCTTAGTGATAATTACTAATTAAATAAGATTTGTAGGGCAATATAATGATACCTTGGTTTCAGAGTTAGCTTTAAGATGTGTTGCGATTATCTCTTTATCACTATTTTTATTTTAAACACTCGTTTGATACATGAACCTCGACGGCGATTCCTGAATGTGGAGCCGCATGTATCCTGTACCCTGTCGCTTGGTTGCCTTGATAAAAAAGCTTTACAATTTTGCTTACAAGCTCAGATCAGCTAGCCCTTTTCATACAAATGCCAAAGATATTCCATCTATGATATTATTTGTCGCAGTTTCCCTTTTCGTTTTTAGATTAGAAGTGAACTTTTCTTTCTGTTGGAGCCCTGTTAATCCGTGTGAGACAAAGAACTCTGCTCTATATTCCAGTGGAACAAGATATTGCAATCTTTGAGATGAGTACGTTTATTGAAGGGTGTTTTACTGTAGTCCCATGTGATTTGCTATCTCAACTCACCAGAACCATTTTCACTTCTGTTACCTGGAGGAATAGGGCTGTCGGGAGCGGCATAGCTAAAACCGGAAAACGTGTCCCATGTTGCGGAGCTGGCGGAAAAATCTGGTGATTCTAGAAAAAATAATAATAAAGACATGGTTTAACATGAATAAGAAACCCAAACATTGAAAACTTTTGTCTTCATTGTCATGGATTTCCACTGGAATTCGCTCGATTCCAAATATTAGATGATGTTAACATGTTGTCTGTGTTGTGCTCAGACACCACGTCAATAGGTCCTCTGAGGACAATTCACCAGAAAGATAATACTCCGATCCAGCGTACACACAGAATCAAACTGCAGATATCAAGATCCTGAAGGACTTATTGTTGTTTATCCTATTACGAGAGATTTTCACGCTGGCTCTGGTGTGGTTAAGCTGCTTCCCACAAACGTTCCCCAAAAAATCCACACACAGTGATGAAGTAAGACTATCAAGGCCGAAGTCACAACATTAGATTTGATTTGGGTTTGCAATAGTTAACATCCAAACGAAAAAATATGCAAATACTGAAGAACATTTAGCAGATTGCATATTCGACATTCGGTAAGATTTTCAAGGCACAAAAGTTGAGGATGCAAACCCTACAGATTTCTTATTCTCCTTCCGGGAGAGAATTCATGGTTGATGTTTCTAGCTCTTTGAAAGCGGTATCTTTCACATTGCTGAATACTCTGTTTTGCAAAACATTTGTAACACTACATATATCTATCAACAACCCAGCTTACCCTGAAAGTGTGCTTTTATTGATACACGTAAAAATAAAAGGGTTTAGCTTGACAAGTTTAGGGTCTTAAGCACTTGTTTGCACTGTTTTCAACCTGCAGGACCTGTGGCTATCTCACTGGATAGCTAGCTACCAGCTGAATGAAATTTCAGTGCACTGCGTTGGCCAAAATTGCAACCTGTTCCTAAGATAATTTGGCGAATCCAACTGTGACTAGATCGTTTTGGATAAAACGGTAGCATGGAGGATATTGTGCAAGAATTAAAGCAGCTTGCTAATGTTTACACAGAAATATACCCTTCAAATTATCAGGGGTTAATTATATTTTACAAGAGATATTTTAAAACAGTATTCAGTGTAACGAATTTTGCGGTGCATTTGACTGAATGTCCACAAACCCTATTTTTAGTCCACTCACGTTTACAAAATAGTCTGCTTGAAACATGAGCTTCGTTGAAACTTAACAAAATGGTGAATTTCTGTAGAAATCGGTTCTTCAGAGTCATGATTTTCAAACAAACTCTCGTTCTAGCTGGCCCGCTATACCGACGTCCTTCAAAATAACACGGACACAGCGATTAGCACTGTATAGTCTTTACCAATAATACTCATATGTACTGGAATCTAATAAACGAAAAAAAAACAACATATATGGCTACATTTTGGCTCGATTTTCTTGCGAGTAAGACGAAAGACTGCCTTGACCTAATTTTTATGCCCACAGCTTAGGAGATACTTGCCACAGTTCACGGAAACCATAAATGAAATTATCAGAAAAATGGTGGAAACACGCTTTGTAACTGTGATAGTTCTTCGCGATCCTGTCCCTTTTATATCCTAGTTGGATGATTCACTTGTCTTTATCCGTACTTTGTGGAAGATCTTAGTGCAACTAATCACCTCAACTTTCAATCAAGGCAAACTTTTGATAAGTGTGCATCTTGATTCAAAGATGTACAGTCTTACTAAAGGTTGCAGATAAAATATAAGTTGAAAACTTTGTTTTGAATCACTGCCAATCACTATACTGAGCTAGTGCTTGATCGATTTAGAAGACACATTTTAATAAACTTTCAACACCTTAAAAGACAAAGTACGGCATAAACTGGGCAGATATGCTTGTAGCACTGTGATGAAGCACAACGGTATCACTGGGAAGCTCATAACCGAACCTTCAGACCTATACCCTAGTAAAGTTGACATTTTTATACTATGCACTAGAAACATGCCTGTATGACTGTTACGCGCACTGAGTTCACGATTCAATGAAGTCAGCATGTTAATAAACCAATGCCTCTCCGAATCTGGTGAGCCACAAATAGGTCTAAACTACGGTAAAACGGTCATGCGATTTTGGAACACGGCCGACAAGTGTCACTTTACATAGTTCGTAATGGCCAAGTGATTTACATCAACATAAACTTTCAAAGATTTTAAGTAGATCGAAGCTGACGAATGCTGTTGCACTTTTCCCCAGATTATAGAAATCATGGATTCGAAATTTAGGAAAACGTGAGAATGCAAAATCACGGAACCTGGTGTTTTGTTTCATCCGCTTGATTAGATTTGATCTTCAGTGATCTTCAGACTAAGTAAACAGTGCTACTGCTCCTAGTAGTCACGGAAGTACCCCGAAAGAAACGATATTTCATTTGTGCTTCTAACCACTGCAGGATTCCAGAATATCCGTCTCCAATAGACAATCATCAGCAAAAGCTTGGAGCGTATAAAGCAACCACGAAAATGCTGTAAGTGCAGACATGGGAATTTTGTTTTATTCGATAAGAAATCGGCCATAAACCAGAATTACTCTAAAACATTCTTCGGATATCGAAGATATCAAAAGCGCAAATTTATTTCAAATATTCTCAATAAAGAAAGCAATGTTTAGACAGGTTTTGTTTGAGCGTAAATAATTGCTTACCAACAAAGGACGAACAAGACATTGAATAGGTCACATCTGGTGTTGGATCGGGAGGACAGGTGGGAATAAATGGCGCTGGTATGTTTCTTTGAAGCAGCCGGTCCCAAGATATCTGGTTAAAAAATGGATGCGCCTGCAAATCTCGAAATCCATTTTGTCCATAACCTACAGAGTGAATAATAATTTCAACGGGTGAAGGAAATCATCCAATTTGGAAATAAACAGAAACCGCAACTTCAAGGTCTGCAGTTTGTTTATAGAACCGAGATCCAGGAGAACGAGGTCAAACATAAGTTGAGAAATTTTGGTGGTATGCTTCGAAATGAAGGAAACAACAAGACAATGAAATTCAACGTTTGAACACAAGTTCTTGTGATATTACTGGTTCATATAAGTTCATCAAGCAAAAAGGCACATAATCTAACTTAGCAACAAATAGAAATACAACTAGAAATTGGTTGCAGTCACTACAAACGTTACATCAAAAGGTGAGCCACGAATGGCTCACAATTGAACATCAACACTATTGACATGGACACTGCAGTATAGTAGGATCATCGCTTTGACTTGGCGCATCTGGGAACAAAGGGTCAGATGACACTTGCAAGTAAAGCACCGGTTCACCTAAAACGGACCCGGGTTACATCCCCGTTTAATAGAGTGCACCAGGTAGCAACACCAAACGGGGTACAGTAGAATGTTTGAACACTAGAGAATATTTTATTCGAAAATGAGTCCCCCTAGGTTTATTGGGAACTATTGCAAAGTCAGTATAATCTCTAGTACAGTTTCCACCGTTTCTCGCAAAACGGTGCGCATTTCATTGCTTTTCAGATTTGTTGACGTTTTAACGTGGCTGTCAGATGAATTCTAAATGTTAAATGTGGAAGCTACCACTTGAAGTTACCGGAACACTTGGCCGCTCTATCTATCTCAGCTCGTCCCTATACTTGACGTGATCTTAACTTTTCCAGTATGACACCAATTCTCATAACGACTTACTTAGTGTCACAGGAGTAACGGACGAGTGTCTCTAGGTAACTTATTCTAAACTATGAATATGACTGTTTGTGATCTAATTCCTTGCACAGTAGCATTCACAGTATTGCGGTGAACTGGTATACCAGCTGAAAATGTTGTCAGTAGGGTCCCATCAGTACCTGCGTTAATGTCCATAAGTGATCTTACTTCACTCAAATGAGCATTGAGGACATAAAGAAGACATACTGCATTGCCCCACTTATGTGTTCTGAATGGAGTCACCAAAGGAAAATTTTGATGCAGTATATGATCACATAAGCTGCTGCGAGTAGGCTTAAGTATTCTTTTTAATCAACAGACCACAGCGCGGTTTGTAGATTCGGTCATCCTTAGAAGGTGAACCTCAAGGAGATCCTGTGTGCAAAGATATGCTTATGCGATTACCGCGTGCAGATGTACTACACTTTCTTCAATTAACCTTAGCTCTTTATTCGCTTGAGACAGTCTAACTGATTTCGGAAGTATGGCCTGTTTGGTCGAGAACATTCTTCGACATTTTGTTGGTCTACATACGCTAATACTTTGTGTTACAGAGGCTCTTCAAGGCTCAAATGTGTCTCAGTTCATAATAAAAGCTGAAGCCTTGTCTCTATATCGTAACAAGTATAGATCAGTTGTTTTAGTAAACCAAGGATATCAGTGGAAGTCAGTATCACTTGATTGCTTTGGTCAACCAGATTTCCCATTCCAAATTGTTCAGGTTTACTACGCGGAAATGAATTGTTCTCCTCTAAGGAGACTGTTTAAAAAATGTTTGTTAATCGTCACGCTAAAATATTTTTGAAGGTGCAGTTGTGGTTCATTTTGAAACTTGTGGCCTGGGTAGGTATCGTCTAGTGTGTTCCTAATAGTACTCAGGGTTCCGGAATTTTCTTGGGCGACAACGGAGTTCACCAATGTGTCAGGCTTGGTACTTTCATTTGTGGATAGCCCTCAGACAGAAACAAATTGGTTCGCGCGTGCATCGCCCAATTTGCCCTTACTCTGATTCGGTCCATTGACTTTTCCCGACAAAGAGTGTAGAGCTAATCGGATGGTAGTCTACAGCCTTCCGTCGGGCCATAAACGGAAATCAGAAATTTGTATTACTATTACCGCCAAAATTATATGATGCCATCAAAGACGGTTTCTGTGTGGTGTGCGGTACAATCGCATCCAGGCGATATCATGCAGACCAGGTAAAATGACATTTACCGCCGACTGGCTGCGTAAAAAGTGAACTGTTTTTAGATGGCCTGCTGTTGCACTAAATCACGTTATAAACTTATCTTGTAAATGAAAAACACCTTTTTTGGGAAGTCGTGTACGTCATGCAACCGTTTTTTGCTTTCTCGGAACGGTCAGCACTGTTTATGCCACGAGGCTACAAAAAAATCTAACCTGAAACCCGCAGAATAGTAGGGTAAGTTATAACAGTCAGCTATCGGTATTTGGTTAGAATTAATTCTAATTTATACTTGCACAGTATGTAAGCCATTAAGTCCGAAACGCTTATGTATTTTCGCTCATAAACAAGTATTCCACTTAAATAGGTGGACTGCGTTCTCTAATCAACTCACCTTAACGAGCTAACACCTAAAAACCCGCGTGTGGGACGTTGTAAAGGTAAGATGGAAGATGGTAGATCCTAACGTTTAGCGTCTCGACATATGGCAACCAGGTAAACGATCTTGATATAACTGAAGGTGTTGAATCAAATGTCACAATAATTGTGAATCCATAAATAGAAGAAAAATGGTGCGATAGACTTTCTCTGATTGAATCAATAACCAGTCAAGAATGTCTGATTCCTGACTTTATTCCATAAAATCTGACATTTCGTTACGCTGTAAAATATACTTCGCTGTTTGATGCATTTATATTAAATACGAGTTGTTGCAGGTCATTATGTTTCGTATCTCTGAAAATTTTGGTTGGATATTTTCACACTTGGGACGATATGGAGTAAGTTCTCATATGATTCATATGATGATGATGTGTCATATGATTCTACGGCGGTTTGTTTTATGGAAACCTCCTCAGTTACAACAAACAAACGGGAAGTGTTTGATTCAATTTCAAAAGAGAGATTACCGATTCGGTAACTAGAACGGAGTCCAAGTTGTCTAACCCGATTGTTTTTTATCCTCACTATAGGTTGAGTTCAGAACAGTGAATCAGCTTTCACTGGTAATATCAAGTACGGTACGTTGTTCCTTATGGAATTTTGTTTTCGAATATGTCCACAAGAAATTCATGGTTACGTCCCTACTACAGTACCGCCTAAAAGGCCAGAAAAAAATATCCCGACAGCATGGTCTGTTTGAACAAGGTATCAGAGTGATGTGACTCAAGTCATGCATTTGCAAATTAACATAAATCCCGCATGAATTTCAACTAAAATACCTTGTAGTTGTACTCATCAGCCCAGATAGCTGTACAAAAACTGCGCTGTCGCTTTCTGAGTCCGATTTTTATGATGCTTAACTTGATAAACTTACCTCCTATAAGTAGCCATAATAGTGGTAAAGTTTATCCACAAAGAACATCCACAAATTAGGGCACGTGGAAGTGACAAACATTTCTCGCCATCAGTGAACTAAATGTGTTCGGTTCATTATTTCCTTCATTCTTGAAGAAGCTGCCCAGTCAGTAGGTCTGATGCACATCCTTTGAAACTCCTCTCATCTTCCTATTTTGGCAGAAGTGTTGGTCAAAAGGGGATAGGTATGGCTTTGTAGCCCTAAACTTTGGCAGACAGTTGCATCCTAGGCTTGTACGGTGCTCCTGGATTGAGGTTTATGGTGCCGAGTGAGCTCACATCAACTTCGACGGAATACTTATGATACCAAAGAGTACGTTCTGAGCGACGACGTTGTGATTGGCTAGTCAGCTGAGGCTTTAATCCGGGTTGAGATGAACGCAAATAAGAACCACCTGAAAGTGAGCTGTCATTCTTAAGATTTATTTAATATCCATCGGTGGAGATGCAGAGCAGCAAACGCTGAAAAGCGTGGTCGGATAGTTAAGGAAGCAAGAGGAAGCGCTGGCGTTCCCCACCTGCGACGTACATGCAATCAGAACACCGTGGACACTGAGAAGGAAACTGCAAAGATCTCGGGAGTTAATGTGGGACCTGCAATAATGCTACATTATGGCCAGGGTGAATTCCACGAGTTACCCTACTTGGCGCGGCCTAATCCTCTGTTACTGCTGAAAAAATGTTCCCAAAATACATATTACTTAGGTAGCCATTGTTAAGAATTACTACTCACAGTTTTCTAGTGACGCGGGTGTTAGACGCAGGTCAGTTCGAAAGTGGTGAGATCAGTCGGCACTGTCCGTATTTTGTCAGTATTCAATACAGTGCCCGTAGAGGTCCTCTGACACAATTGTGTATGAAAAATAAACTATCTCTCTAGCTCCAATTTCCGGAAGAGTTTTCACCCTAATTCACCTAAACAGCCATGAATCTGAATCGATCACAGCATGATCAGTTCATGACGGCAAGGATGCACATAGGAATACTGATCTTACTGGGACAAATAAGTTTACATCGTGATCTAAGTAAGAATTACTGTAAAATTAAGATGACGTCTCAGACGAGTTGACCTGGCTCGGCCGGCACAGCCAGAACTGATGAACAGGTGTCAGATCAAACTATCTTTAGGGCTCAGACCCAAATGCTGCTTACATCACAAGCCACCGGTCACTCATCCGAACTACATTGTAATCTGCAAGCACTCGTTCATATGAATTCACTGCACGACATCGGGATTCCCCCTAGATATTTACCTGGCCAAGTGAATCGCTCACTTCTCAACAAATTATTCCAGCCGGGCATGAGCACACGCAGGCACTTAAGCTATCGAGGTGACAAGTCAGTGAAGCCTTGAGGTTAGGACCACGCGACCAATGAAGAAGCGGTATCTGCATAGGGGAATCTCAAGGGAGCCGAGAAGCCGAAAAATTGATTCAAAACTAATGGAAAATCAGTAAATACGTAGCTGGACCATCTGGATAATGGACTGAATATTTCATTGAGTAACACCCATACCAAACAAATGCACACAGTGGCCGTAAATCCAAACTATTCGTCAGTATCCAACGTCTCGAAGGAAAACTGTAGACGGCGAACGATAAAAACACTGGGCTTGAGTTAATTCGAAAATATGCATATCTAGGAAGGAGCAAGGATAAAGTTGGGAAAGAATAGTAGTGTTTTTCTGTGAGTGTAATCCTAATGCTGCACCAAATACGTTGACTAGGAAACGTGTTGGGGGGTTGTCAGGCCACCGGCCTCCTCAGGATAAACTGCATACAGACCTGGTTTAAGAAGGAAGCCACCAATGGAAGATAAACGAATAACATGGTGAGAACATATACGGATAGTAATAAACCAAACTCTGTTGGATTATTGCGATTTTCCGGGTGGCGGCCGCACTCGATTAAAAACTCTTTCTGAAGTGGCACAAAATCCAAACCAGTGGATCCTTCATGGCTGTCCACCAAACTAACAAAATACTTGCAAAGTCTCCACCTTTGCTCTCATGTTTTCATGTATTATGGAATACAAATCAAGGCTTAGGTGAAAACAAATATTTCCGCCTAACGAAATTACTAGTTCACCCGCTACTTCGTTACAAATATCGCAACCACGAGGCTCTTGGTGAGCTATGAATACACCAGTGGTCGAATGTTTGGGAGAATGAATGCAACTGAAGGCAGATTGAATTCATGCCCCATTTCATCTGCTTACTGTTTTGTCATACGAATCTTGTTCTTCGGGAGGCAAGCAGTGGTAAATTGGAGGTAAGTGAGCAAAGCATTTGGGGTCGTTTTTACTAAACAACATGAATGTTAGATCTGGATATTGTCTGTGCTAACCCAAAGCAGGGTACTGGCACAAATTACTGTGAAGCGTCCCGTAAAAGCAGAAGAACTAATCATAAAACAACAGAGAAAGTCATAAACACTATTCAAATCGCCTGGTGTTCTAGTTGGGTTGTTTTGAGGCGATAACCGAAACTAGTTTAAACTGTATGCACTTGGCGTGCCATGCACCAATTCGTTCATATACTATTTTGTTAATTTGTTCGACTGTTCATCTAAATCATTTTCGCAAACTCGCGCACCGAGACTAGGACGCAAACAGCACATCAGGAAATGGTCCAGATTACAGAGATGATCAGAAATCCCTCACTGTTTGCCGCCTATCTTTGAGGAGCATTATATCCATATAGCTCTACCGTCATGCACCCGCACAGTCCACGAAAGCTTCCGTCGTCAAAAGTGCTCGAACAAAAAATCTTCCAATGATTTATGGGGACTTCTTCCTAAGGTAGACCGAGTCAATATTTGGCACAGTATAGTGAACTGACTGGTGTAACTAAGATTAAATATATTTTCGAGGTTTTATTTTGTAACCAATACTAGGTTTCCTTATGTATAGTGATTTAATGCAGCCAAAAACACATATTGTCCAGGAGATAAGTCCGGATATTTTTTTACTTGGGACACCGTTTATGTCTTTCAATTGTACAGCTGTAAAAGATTGGATAATGAACTAGTTTATTCCCTGTTTACAGAATAAAACACGTAAATTTCAAGAATAAGTAAGGTATGCAGCAATGCAGACTTCTGCATCCAAAAACGGAATATTCGCCAGGTGGGAATGGCAGAATATCAGGTTGGATTATACACTAACGCGTCTCCTAAAAGAACCGGGTTAACTTTACCCCTTCCGACGTTTCATGTCAATTCTACGAAAGGTAGTCGCTGTCGGCCAATCAGACACTGTCCAAAACAAAACACGGAACGCCGAGATAATATATTGCAAGTGAAGACGATCAGCGATGAACATATCATCCATATCGCGCTCTACTGAAAGATCTAAGCTTCATAAGTCACTGATGCCGGTTGGGTGATTCTTGGGCAAAACGGCCGACGGATAGCTGCGATGGTGTTGCATAATACTGATGTAAATTAGTAGTGAGTTAGTTGGAAGTCGGTAATCGCAAGATGGCTCATCCTTATCGCAGTAAGAGAAGAAAAACCGGGTTATCGGAGAGATTTCAGCAACCTTATGCGTAGTGTAGTACGTCAAAAAACACAATCTGTTGTCAAAGAAAACAGTTTGAAAGCTGCCAGCTACGGAAGTTGTTCAACTTTTGTCCTCAGAGGCATGTAACAGCAGTTTGGGCGAAAAATTGAGCATCCACATCCAGTCAGTTTAGTACACTTTTTTCGTTCTAATTCATTACAAAATCTCAGTCAGTTTAGTACACTTTTTTCGTTCTAATTCATGTACAAAATCTGCTGAGGAGGAACCTAGAGTTCAAACTGAACATACCCAATCGATTTGTGGGATTCCTTTTAAACAGAGCACGCAGTAAACTCTGAGCGTCCAGACTGAGGAATTGCGGCATCCGCAACTTGGCTCTGAAAAAAATTAAATCTTTTATCAATCAGAAATGCAACAGGCCTTGCGTAGCTGAGTTATTTTTGCTGAAAATGGAACTCATTTAACCCAGCACTAGTTTGTAACATTTAAAGCCCGGAAATTTTCCATACATTACTTTGCGTCCAGTTAATACTTACTCTTAAATGGAGATGGTACGCATCCCTTATTACACTGAGAATAATGTGCTTCAGGGCTCAGTCCAAATCATCACAACTTACATCAGTAGCTGTGATCCATTAACTTGGTAGTATATACGTTGAACGTCACATCACCGTAAGCATCGGTTAAACATGTAAAAAACTGACAAGTAAGAAATACAAAGACGTACTTGAAACATTCCTGCCGAAAAACAGTCGCTTTCCTACTGGATAAATGTGAGGATTTTTGTTCCTCCATGCCACCTGCCCTGGTTCACATAACACAATAACAAGGATTCTTTGTATGGGCATACTAACGACAGTTAGTGTAAACCAGGCACAAGTAGCCCAGCGATTAACTGTAACAATGAAGTATGCTCGGTTTGAACAGTATATCACCATGCTTTTGTAGACAATTGAAGACAGTCGGTTGACTCATTGAGGTGCAATGTGCCGTGCCATCATTTCAACAAGGTGACCGGTCAGGATAAGACAATAGTCAATAATGGAACCAGCTTGGATTTTTTTCGCTAATTCATGACCTCATTATAGGGTCACCAATTAGAACGCTTTTTCTAACCAAGAGATGACGGAAATGTGTTTTACTGCAGTATCTCTGTAGTTTGTCTCATCAGTGGGCTTCAAATGTTCACCAACCTCGGGTTCAACCTTTTAGAGCAGTAGTTCAGGAATTCTTGCGGAAATTATTATGGAAAATGATGGTCCTAAAAAAATTAACTGAAGTTCCTAAGGCAGCCTGTAGCAGATGTACGCTAACGTCTCATTGGTTGCTATAAACTGGAACGCCTTCCAACAATGAACAAAATAGTGTTCTAATAAGGATATTAGATTAGTTAATACACCATGAGAAATTGTAAAATAGGCGTACTACTTCTATTCAGGGAAAGAATAATCCCATTCTAAGATCGAAAAGTTCCATTTTCATTTGAAGATATAGGACTATATTACCGAAGATATATCTGGTTGTTCCCCTCGACAGGGGGTGCATACTTCCCAGGGATGGGGAACATGAAGCATTTTGTATACTATGTGCCGGTGGTCAAAGAAAAGCCTGCTGGCTTCGGATTATATCGGTATTACACAGAAGAGTGTGATGAAATTGGTCAATTTACTTAAAGTGTATTTTCAGGCATCCATTATCCTTGGGTGTGTGAAGCCAAACTTAGTGGTGCACCTGGAAGATGCACAGGCATAAGTGTCGTCAGAATCTGACCATTTGAGTGAGAAAAAAGGTAAATTTCATCCCCTGCCTACACACAAAAGACCAACCAGGACGAAAATAACTGTGTGCAAAACATGTTTTATAACAGTACCACAAAACAGTAAACGCTAGGCACTGTGAGAATCCTGAGTCATTATGTATTGCCTTATCTTCTTCTCTGACTTCTGCGGCAACTCTGTCACACTTTCACTGATGCTTCTTTTCACAAAATTCACTAAAATAAACAGCCTCATAACTTTTGTTGCCAATTACTAAGCGTTATTATTTTTAGAGCAGCCATACTCAGTTCTCTTTACGCTTGGGGATTAACTTAATTATGATCTTGAATTGGGACAATCCTTAAGTGCGTTCTAACAGTCTCCCATGTGGATACTGTGCAAATCAATATTGTTACCACGAAATTACGTAATCACATAAGCCTCGAGATGAGTAAAGCAATCATATTTGAACAATATTTGGGCGGCCATGACCTTGAGCAGAAAGGAACGACAAAAATGGCGGTAAATGACAGAACAAATATTGTTTGGATGGACAGTAAGCTTAACAGGTAACCCTTCCACTTTTAAATTGTGGTAGCAGTTTTCGTCATGTCGTCATGTCTTCGGACGTCCCTGTATTTTATAGGTCCATTAGTTATGATGTTAAGTTTGGGTGGCTTGCATATTCTGAACCGCCTAAAGCGGTGTTACAGCTGTCAGCTTGCCCAATTGATGCCTCGGGTAGTAGCGTGGGCAATTGAAAAGTTGGGTGCTAGTGTGTGTCAATATTCTGTGGACCTGCACTAGTCATATACTCATCCGGGACCCATACAGCTGGCTGACAGGTTTGCACCACCGATCGATTAGAGTGTGAAGCTAAATAAAGCTGGATTTGAGTCCTCGGGCCCCAGCTTTGCACACATTTGGCTGATTATTGCTCTTGATCGTTGCTTACAAAGCTTGTTCGTCGTCGGAAGTACCACAACCATAATGGATTCAACACATCAATCCTAATCGGATTACTGTCCTTAGTTTAAAACGAAACTCATTGTTCTGGTGAGCGTTTTCTTCAAGCAGTTGTGAAGTAAATAGCCTGTCCATTTTGCTACGATCTGCACAGAACTAACCGACTATTCAGACATTAGTTCTCTGATTGAGTGACACTGATAAACGTCTTGCCCGCAAGCTACAGCAAAATTATGCCTTTTTAAAAGTCAGGTGAGGTTTGATTTTCCTTTATTTTTTAACATTGGCATTATTAGAACCTCCTTGAATTCCTTGCGGAACTTCCTTTCTCTGCCATTTAGGCATGCAGGCGGGTTGACTGACTCCACAGTCAGATCTTCGTAACTAGAAATTTATTTTTACACCGAGTTTCCTCCGGCCGCCTAGCTATTACGCAACTTCACGTCTACGTGTTGGTTGTCCGTAGAGGGAAAAGTTCAAGATGCAGTTTTATTTTTTGGTGAGATAGTGTATCTCGCCTAGATGGTGCTCGTTAGTCTGTCCAGCAGTTTTCTAATTTGATGGTAGCGTAAGGAAACTCGGGGATTTTTACGTGATATTACGTCCTACAGTTGAAGCTAGTACATACTGAAAAGCCAAGAAGTGCCACGCAGCTGTTTGTCATTCATCTTTGAAATATTAACAGTGCTTTCCTCACGGAACCCCGGTAAAGAATCTTGAACTGTGACCCCTCGGCTAGCATTCTCAACAGATAAACACGAACGGCGATTAACTCACATTTTGAATATAACGCCAGCTATCCTTCACTTACGTGTTGACCGTTTTCTTGAGTGATGATCAAGTGCTTATACCATATATCTCGCCTCTCTGCAGGTACACTCTTCTGATATTCCCATGTTGGTTTCAAGCTCACTTCGTGGATCGCCATTAGCCGGCCGTAAACTTCTTTGTAATCCAGCCGAGTGGCAAATTATCGATCCACCCACTACATTTCCCTCATCTTTCGTGCTTGATGCGGTTGAGTTGCAAAGTCAGGTTATTTCGTGAATTCATTCGCTTGGCAAGAAACTAGCCAAGCACTCAACATTCTTAATCACGATCTGTTTTCTATGTTGTTTAATGTGGTGACAGCAAATTGGAGACATTTTTCATTCCGGCTGATTAGCGTTATTACGTCTCTGCCATTGGGTTGAACGGACGCCAGTTGGTGCTGCTATATCAACCTCATTTCGGGATCTTCAAGAAAGCCGACGTCAAATATTATGAGCGGAATGATTTAGCTGGCTCTGAAACTGACTTAAAAATTCGTTCTAGCAAGCTCGTTGTCATTTCCAAATTCGACTTCTCCCATCACTCATGCAATGTACCGCTCGAACATCTCGATGGCGAACGATAATGGCTTGTCTACTGGGTGGTCGTACTCACGTAGTTATGTATACTTTTTTGAGGCAAAATCTGGGATTAGTGATAACAGATATGGTAATAGCGTAAAGGCTGTGGTGACAGGCGCCGTCGGCGTTTACAATCTCTGGCAGCCTATAAATCATGGCCACGGAAATAGTCTAGATAGACATGTGAGTTAAAGCCTCTCAGCAATAAAATCTTGTCACTTTTCGCGACTGGTCGAAGTAGGGTATCAGCATCAAAGTAGCATTTTTCTGAGTTGCCATCAGTATAGCAGAGCGTTGGGGTGTGTGTACAGATCCGAGTGACAGATTTTGCTTGGTAAACTCTGGTGCAAAAAAGCAATGCGCGGAATGATACCACAGGTTTGTATCGAGCATTTTTGTTGCGGCCAGCTAACACAAACCCGAAATGATTTTGTTTTCCATCTGTAAGGTAGCTGATCCATTAGGACGTGTATCCGAAGACAGATATCCATGATTAACCAGCCATGTCTCGTTGAGAGTCGAGAGATCAATTCCACATGGGTTCAGTTCCACAGCAACTAAGGAGTTCCAGGAAGACCCACCTGGTAACCAGCTTGGACTAGAAGTCTTTTAATGCCCTGCAATCCCAAGGGTAGTGACCTTCTGGGCAACATGAATGCTTCTAATTTACCTTCCAGAAAGTGGAATTAGCGTGAGTTAGTTCACCCTCTCCAGCTGCCGTCGCTTCTTATGCGCCGGTAGAATGACCATTTTTCAGAATCTACTTGAAAAAGCACTATACATGACACCCCAGCCTGCGCTTATGCCGGGACAACGGTCACAGTCGGATTTCAGAGTGCCCTTAACTTCCAGAATGACAGTGTAATGTTATATGTCATGAGTTCTTCGGAAAGTCACAGTCGGATTTCAGAGTGCCCTTAACGTCCAGAATGACATAAACTGGTCCGAAAGAAAAGCTTTTCCGTTCCCATACTACCATATCAGCAACCCTTACTGGAACTGGCCAGGTGGCTGGTTGTGTTGAACTGAAAAGCAGAGGAGTACCAGGTGGCGTGCATCACCAGTCTGGGACACGGGCTCAATCACTTGGTCTCGCCGTGGAAGCGTGATAACCGCAGAATGTGAGCGTTTCATGTTCGCAGGCGATCTATCTACTACACATTATTAGTCAATAGGAAAATGCTTTCCACTATAGACAGGTTGCTGAGGTGAGGTAGGAGGAAAGGAAGAAACAAGAGGCAAGAGAGCAACCTAAATTAGATCAATGGTAAGCTACTTGTGAGACTCATCGGTTTGAGATCTGTACATGTGAGAGGCAGGTGGTACTAAAATCAGTAAATTCAGCCAAGTAGAATGAATGAGAACCTTATGCAATGCATACTTCCTAAAACTAAGTTTGAGTTAGCAACCAACACAAAGGCAAAACTAGGAAACTTAAACCAGGGGTTTTCATACCACTCCGTGTTTCTGTAGGCTTGAGTGATAATACTCGCTAACGCGACAGTAACGGCTACCTATTGCCAACCCAGAAGTCAAACAGAAGATGAAAACTCATGTTATCTTCCTGGCCGAATATAGTTGAACTTTGTTGCATTTTATGCTGTGCTGTTTGGTATAGCTCTACTAAAGTCCCCCTCTCTTAAATTTGCTTATGTAAGTGACCGTTTTCGCTCAAAAAGCGGGACACAAAATATCACGAATTCGCCTAAAATCTTTGTTGTAACAGCGTTCGATCATCCATTCTGTGCCGAAAGTAAGATAACGAAACTTATAGATAGAGGCCCAGCAAAGCCCAACTCGAAATTCATGCCTACCCGATCAATCAATCAAGGAATCAATAAAAGGAACCACTTACCGTAAAATCTGTTGCATTGTGTCCCGACGGCTGTCACCTTGAAATGGCAGCAGGCCACAGAGCATTTCATACATTAATACTCCCAAGCTCCACCAGTCGGCAGTCGAATCATGTCCACGACGCGTGATCACTTCCGGGGCCATGTACTCAATCGTCCCGCAGAATGAAAATGCTCGACCCCCAGATTCCGTATTGACTGCCTCTTTCGACAGTCCGAAATCAGTCAGCTTGACGTGTCCTTCAGTGTCGAGGAGAATGCTACAGCATGAATGAAATGAATTTAGTTATTACAACCAGGATCTTAGATTTGGACGACTAGAGTAACGAAATGGCCATCTAAAAGATTTGTTTTCCAATAAGAATTGATTTTGTTTAACTCAAGCAAGTTCGAATAATTTATGGCGGAAATATATCATCCACTGAATACACAAGGAGTAAAATATTCAAGACAGAAAACTCATCGGTTTCGGTAAACCGTGGCTGCAACATCATGAAATTAGGAAGGAAAAAGGAAAAATAATTTAACTATGATGTTCGGTGGATAAAAGAACCACGCGAAATTGGAATGTCACAGCCATCTTTTGATGAGCAGTATCATCGAGGAGGGAGGAAGTTAATCTCAAAACCAGATTTCAAGTTTTTCACTGCACTGAAAGGGTAGCAAAATTGGTGTTGTTTTTTAGGAAACTTATAGGCAGTAGTTTCAATCTTAGTGGAAGGGCCTTAATGTCAAGTCAATCCAGCCAGGAATTTCGTTTTCCAGAAAAATTTAACTAGGTTCTGATTTTGCATTCGTAAACAATGTGGTTTTAGCGCTCGCTTCTGATTCACTTACTCTTATTTTGTGTGTTATTTTGCTCATTCCTAATAGATGGAACTCTGTAATCGCGCTTGTAACACCACTTACAATGCTGTGGTGTTAAACAACTTCCAAAGGCATTGAAATTTTGCGGGAGGTGTATTGTTCAGTTTCACATCACTCTCGTGTTGAACAGTCGTCCTCCTGTCTTGGCGCAATTATTCATGTGAATCTACATCACTATTCCACCAGCGCGCGTCAGAATTCTCATGTCTGAACGGGTGAATGTGTTCGCACTTGAGCGGTGGCGCAATTATTCATGTGAATCTACACCACTATGCGCGCGTTGGACGCATCAGAATTCTCATGTCTGAACGGGTGAACGTGTTCGCACTTGAGCGATGTAATTAGTTTGCCCGACACATCATTGATACGACGACCCAGTAACTGTCCTGGTTGTGACGATCGCTTGGCCCGCTTGTCAGAATTTCCCAGCCAGGTAGCGCCACAGATTGTTGTAACCGGCTGGACAGCTTTTTGTTGATGCATGTGGGGGTTGCGCGGGAGTTCAAACTCCGGCACGGCCATTGGATACGAACTGCTGATGAGCTCTAACAAGAGCGAAACTCGAGTCCAGTGCTTTCCCCCCCTTTTGGTGTGGATTCATATGAACAACTGCGCCAGGACAGGAGGACGACTATTCAAAACGAGAGTGATGTGAAACTGAGCATTCACATTTCTTTCTAAAACTCAGGCCAATTCAGCTGCCCAAAGCAATTGCTGATGTGGTGTTTTGGTTGCATTTTGAAATAAACGATAGTTAGTGTTCAGTAGACAAGAGCGAAACTCGAGTCCAGTGCTTCCCACCCCCTTTTAGTGTGGATTCACATGAACAATTGCGCCAGGACAGGAGGACGGCTATCCAAAACGAGTGATGGGAAACTGAGCGTTCACATTTTTTTCTAAAATTCAGTCCAATTCAGCTGCCCAAAGCAATTTCTGATGTGGTTTTTTGGTTGCATTTTGAAATAAACGGTAGTTAGTGTTCAGTAAGTTTACCTGGCCTACGTAATGTAGCAAAAAAAGTAATCCTGTTCCAGGAAAGTCCAAATTTTTTCCGATAACATGGTCATTGAAGGATTGTATGGGAACCACACAAATAATCGTGAATTCCATCAAGTATGCAAAGTTTCGACAGCTTTTCTCCATCAAGCCAGCAGGATACGATGTTTTCTCTGTTCGAGACCTTACCCTAAGTGGAAAATAGGGCCTAGGCCGATGTTAGTTTACCTGGCCTACGTAATGTAGCAAAAAGAGTAATTCTATTCCAGGGAAGTTCAAATTTCTTCCGATAACATGGTCATTGAAGCACTGTATGGGAACCACACAAATAATCGGGAATTCCGTCAAGGATGCAAAGTTTCGACAGCTTTTCTCGATCGAGCCAGCAGGATACGATGTTTTCTCTGTTCGCCAGCCTTCATTTTGTCCACAAACAACAATGGAATAGGAAGGTTGCGCACCAGGAGGGACCGCTAAAGAACACATTCCCGTCTCTTACTTTACTGCTAAACATCCTTCATATCAAACACACTCCCAGCGTTGAACGAAGGCTATCCGTTTGTGAATCTACAGACAAAGTATATCCATCGACTTCCATTAGAAATCACCCTACCACCTACCTACTCATGCCTCAACCGTCGTGAACTTACGTTTCCGGACCACTTATCCTACTGGTTCCGCAAGGTCTCACTAAAAACACCGTATAAAGTCAGGTCTATATGTGAAGAGATAAAGTATTTTAAGCACAATGAAATGTATTCTGGAGCACAAAAAACATTCGCTCATTTTGACCGACAAAAGACTAGAAGAAAATTCTACTTGGTGCACTTTCTCGACTCGGATCAATTAGTGAAACATGTGAGACGGAAATCTGCCTGCTGAAGAGCTGATTCCACTGCAAGTGGTCCTGGCAAACGCCGGTCTTATGGAGCCCAAATTCAGATGTTCCTCGTTGCCAGCGGTGGGTGTTGACGGGTTGCGAACAGAAGGCTCTCTAACACTTTCATAAGATCCCATTTTTAATAGCATCAGACAAAAAGTAACTACCTGCATGCCCCTCAACCTGGTCAGTCTTTGCTCCTTGTGTTTGCGCCAAGGACTTATAAACTGGGTCAGTTTCATGGACTGTATATGGACTCTACAGGCACATTTATGCACATGTGCAGCTTATATCCTGCTAAAATCCATCAGAAGCTTTCTTAAAACTTACAAATTTTATTTCGTTACTCGAACGACCTCTTATTATTCAATTATCACAATCCGTCTTCCGCTTTGAGCTTCCACGTCACTTCTCCTGTGGCGGTTACGGGTGAAAGAGCCTAAACTAGTCCTTGCTGTTTTGTATAGCAACGTTGTATCCTAAAAGTTGTCATCCTTGTCGCCAACGGACACTATTGCATAAGAAACTTTCCCCAGTTAACAAAATTCTTTGCGTTTATGGATGATCCCTATAAAAACCCCGAAACCTCTGGCTGCTAATGTTTCCTTGCTCATGTCAAAACGAGTCCTCCATCACGAAACATTTTTTCTCTTCTGTGTGTTTATCTTCATCGCAGGGATCATAAAGTTGCCGGCCTTTTGAACAAACGGTCCAACAGCATCAAAATCACTTTGGAGACCAAGGGGAACAGAGAACCATTAATTTCATTGACCCTCACTTGTTACTGAAGAAGTGTTACTCTTCCTGTGGCCCCCACTTTCAGACGGATATTCACTTGAGACTAATTTTATCCTCACTCTTATTGGATCCTTGTCAGATCGGATCACTATATTGTATTCAAACGAAATCCAGCAAAGAAGAACTTCGTTGTCCTCACAACGTTGCCACTACAGAAATACGGCGCTGGTGGCTTATTTTATGGATGTCACCTACAAAACCAGAACCTCAAATACAAATTGGAAAGTCCTAGAAGTACGCGGAAGTGAGAAGATCTTTTGAATTGCCAATAAAATTCGCCGAGATCCGTAAAGAATCGTATCAATTGTTTGCTTAATCAGCTGCGAAGAATGACTTCCTCACTATTTAGGGACAAAATCAAAAATTTTATTTGAGACCACTATGCATTCCTCACCATAAAGTGCACCTGCCATGAAAAAACTGAAAAGAAAATCGGTCAGTTCGCTAGAATGCCTAACAGGGGGTATGCAAGTGACCAGGGCCGTTTTACGCACATATCGGTCTGGTTTCAGACCGTACGGCTCTTAGGCACTTGAGATGCTAATGGCACAACTATTGACAATAATATCAAGGGAGGACACGGCTATCTCAATCCCATACAACCATACCAATTCACTTGAATAAAGCCTCATGATAGAATTGAAAGGAACGTGGACGAGTGAGGGGACCTAGCGCTACAATATTACAGTCTTCCGAGACATCAGTCTCTCATCCATCTAGATGGGGATGACGTCACATGTCAATAAGTACCTGGATTGCACGGAACGATCCAAACCTGGGCAACGCCCCCACCCAAAAACCCATGCACTCGTTCTCACTGACACAAACTATCCCATCGTGGTAAAAATGACACTACTCCGTGTAGAACATCCGACAGACCTGCAGTCACCACCGATCAAACAGTGAGCCAAGCAACTTGTCATTATTTTCAATGTTAACTACGGCAACTTTACACCCTAGTCTACATACAACTGTGCTTGGACAACAAATTTTTCATATGATGATCCAAATGGCATTTGAACTATTGGAGATCAAGATCGCCTTGTAGGGTATCTGTTTGCGTCTACAGTTCAAAGGTTTTACAAAGCCCGTCTGTGTGAACCAAGAAAACCATATTGTCGCCAGGGCATTATTGTGGTAACTCAAAAACCAACCCTTGTGTAACTGCTCAATAATTTCCCATTCTTTATCCTATGTAACATATATTTTTACGTCTGTATCTAGGGTTAAAAAACACTAGCATATTGCTGCAAATGCCGTCCATCTGTTATAATTCACGTTTAGATAACTGGCGTTCTAACAGTTCTCCTTGCGTCCTGATAAATTTTGTTTGGGTGAGTCTACGCCAGAGGAGGAGATGACAGGTGGAAGATTGTTTAAACGGGTGACACAAAAGTAAATTCTGCAAATCTCGCAACAACATAAAGCCAGGTAGGTGAAAAATCTAGTGACAAACGGTAAGCGTACATCGGAGACAATGGTATCAGCTGATTAAATTTCACTGTTAAGGACAAGTGTTACAGGACAATGTGACATAAATAAATTGAACAAATAATTTTAACTGTTGGCATAGTGCTGTCTGATTCCCGCCTAAGAGGGTGGTACACAATATATAGGGATCGTTTCGATGCTAGCTTTATGGAGTATGCTACGCCAGCAATACAGATGCTGTCAATCTGAGTACATTTGGAACAAGGACAGTCTAGAATCTCTTAAGA